GAAGACGATCATGCAGTTCATCTTCCAAAACCAATGATTGGTTTTGGGGTTACTACCGAACCAGATCAGATAACTCAAAGAACACTTCCAAGAGATGTTATTGTGTCTCCTTATTTCTATTACGAGAACGTGGCACTTGCTCCAGTTGGTGTTTGGACCAAAACGTCACAATACTTATACGATGTAGAGCCAGAATTTGTAGATTCAAAGTATTTTTGTATTGCTGGACGGAAAAGGGGCTATATTCATAATCTGCCAATTGAGAATAGATTTCCTCTTATTTCGCTTCCTCCCTGCATCATACATAATGTTTTTCAATTGAAAAAAACAAATGGTGGTCTTCCTGGAATCCAAGAACAAAGTTGAACTATTTACAAACATGTACAAGAAGTGCCATATTGACAGAAAGGATCTGTAAGGCTCTTGAAGCTTATGACGATGAGCCACCCTCGAGTGTTCAGAAGCATGTTCTTGATGAGTGCCAAAAATGGAATCTGGTATGGGTTGGAAGGAATAAAGTTGTTCCACTTGAACCTGAGGAGGTGGAAATGCTTCTAGATTTCCCTAAAAATCATACACGAGGAGAATGATATGCTAGAGATATGTTCCCCGGTGGTATCAATGTCCTGTCTCTTTTTCTGGGATCGGTGATGTAGAGGTTGCCTTCTACTGTCTTGGCATACCTTTGAAAGCAGATGTGCAAGAACTGAATGATGATCGATTGGAGCAATTGATGAGTAGATTTGTCAAATTCGACCTTGTTGTTAGTGGCATCCAGTGTAACAACCTTACCGAAAGAAATAAACATCATCATGATGAACTAGAAGATTTTTGTTGGTGCATTTCCTTGCAATGACTGCTACAATGACTGTCTCTTCTACTTCTTCAAGATACACACCTACATATCCCACTCTTCTCGAACCATGGAAAGGTTTAGTTAATAGTAAAACTGGTTATCTTTACTTGGAGAATCCTGTAACCAAGATTACCCAATATGACATGCATACAAGTGTAGAATTTGTTCCAATGTCTTATTCTGTGCCTATAAGTTCTTAATTTCAAGTTCAACAATATTCTGAAGGATATAATGGATATAATCCTGACAAGGAAAATGATCGGCATGGAAGAAGTAGCAATGACGTGTTAACACTTGAGCCAGTATCACGGTATAGCCAGAATGCAGGTAGTGACTTGTTCATTCCCATAATTTGTAACATCCTCCATACCGGGTTAGTGATTAAAGTGTAAGATTTTAAAATGTCAGTGATCAAATTCAATTAATCGAAAAGTGAAGGAATTAATTAAAGATGTTGGGTAGGATGAATTATTAAGTGAATGAGAACTAAAAGGGTAAAAGGGTCATTGAGCAAAGGTAATAATTAAATAATAGATAATGGGTATTATAATATCCAAGTGAAAGAAACAAGAGTTTCCAGATAACTCTTGATTCTTCTTTCTTCTTCAACGTGAAGAGCCCAAGCTAAGGTGAGTTTAATTTCTCTTGATTAATCTTTCAAATTCAAGCATGGTTTTAATTATGGAAGCCTTAAGAAAGATTATAGAAGGAAAAAGAGTTGTAGAAACTCAAAGAATTGTAAGTTAAGGGAGATTAAAGGTTAGAAGCCATTGAATAAAATATTGGATTAGAGGTCATAATAAGAATTTGAAGTTGGATTTGACTTGTTATCAAGATAATTAAGAAGTATAAGGTGATAGAATTAAAGTTAGAACATGTTGGTATTTGAGTATGATTCTTGAATATCATGTAAAAGATAGGATTTTGAGTTTAAGGAAGGGATTATGGAGTAGAAACTAGTTTAATTATGTGTATGAAAGTTAGGAATATTAATGGAAGTGAAGTATGAGGTATGGAGCTGAAAATGAAGGGATTTTCAAGTTCAAAAATATAATTCTGGGCTAGGGGAATCGGTACCCATTCAAGGGGAACCGATACCCCTTCAAGCGAATAAAATTTCCAGAATGTCATGGGGGAACCGATACCCCCACAGGAGGGAACCGATTCCCCCTAAAGGAAAATTGTAAATATTGGTTTAATAAGTTCGTTTAAGTTGCTAGTATCAAATTACAAGGTGTAGGTATCTAATAATTGTCTTAAAATGTATAATTATGTAGATTCAGAGCCTAAACGAGTTTCGGAATCATTGACAAGTAAGATCAATAAAAAGGGAAGATAAGAGATTGGAATGGACTAGTGAGGCCAGGTGAGTGCATACAAGTTAGTTTATGATGTTTAATGGAAATAAGACTTGCGACGAGTCTATTTCCTATATTATAATGCATTAATTTATGATCATAGGCATATGTTTGATTTGGGTATATGTGATATATATTACAATGTGTTAAATGATTGTGTGAATACATGTATTGTGATAAGTATAGGAATTAATATGAATGGTCCATATGATTGCATGGTAATGTGAAATAGGTTATATGATAAGTGGCCATACATATTAATAGTATAAGTGATCAATTATAAGAATTTATATAATAGATTTATATGACTACAGGAGAAAGGTGATGAGTTAAATAAGATTAGACTATAGAGTAATATGAGAATAATATATTAGTGAAGGGAATTGAGTATAAATGATGATACCAAACCATAAGATAAATATTTACTTATAGGATAATATGATATTATATGAATATAATATATAACTTTATGAGGAAGAATTGGGTGTTATATGATTTAGGTATGAAAATGATCTATGCGTAAGTATATTACGTGATTATGTGACTATGTGTGAAATAGAGTAAACTAGGTAAGTATAAGATATGTAAATATATGGCTATGGAACAAAGTATGTAATAATACAATGTTATTTGATTTATGATTTTGATATGTGCATGGATACATGAAATGGATATAGGTTATTATATATGTTACATGATTATATGCATGTGTGATATATGCTATGAGACATGCCCAATGTGAAATGAAATAAGCCAAGTGACTATATGAAATATGTGAGATATGAATATAAAATCATATGAGAAGTGAAAAGAATTACATGAAAATAGACTAAGTGATTACATGTATATGTGAAAGAAGCTATGAGATTATATGAACATGTGATATGATATGGAATACATGGTTACACATACATATGGTATGTGACAGAAGAGAAATGACAAGTAATGTGAACTGTTAAATGACAATGCCCATGTTATGTGTCATGAGAGCTAGGGGTATAGTTGGCATGCCAAGAGTCGAGGGTCTATGTGGTCCTTCGGGACATATATGTATTCTTTGGAACATGTGAGACATATACTTGATCCCTAGTATATATATATGATTCTTAAGGAATGATATGTGGTCCTTCGGGACATTGTGGTCCTTCGGGACATATATGTATTCTTTGGAACATGTGTGAAGTCTGGTGAGACACATACTTGATCCTTGGCATATGTATATGATTCTTAAGGAATGATATGTGGTCCTTCGGGATATTGTGGTCCTTCAGGACATATATGTATTATTTGGAACATGTGTGAAGTCTGGTGAGACACATACTTGATCCCTAGTATATATATATATAATTCTTAAGGAATGATATGTGGTCCTTCGGGACATTGTGGTCCTTCGGGATATATATGTATTCTTTGGAACATGTGTGAAGTCTGGTGAGACACATACTTAATCCTTGGCATATGTATATAATTCTTAAGGAATGATATGTGGTCCTTCGGGACATTGTGGTCCTTCGGGACATATATGTATTCTTTGGAACATGTGTGAAGTCTGGTGAGACACATACTTGATCCTTGGCATATGTATATGATTCTTAAGGAATGATATGTGGTCCTTCGGGACATTGTGGTCCTTCGGGACATATATGTATTCTTTGGAACATGTGTGAAGTCTGGTGAGACGCATACTTGATCCCTAGTATATGTATATGATTCTTAATGAATGATATGTGGTCCTTATGGACATTATTATATGGCACTACGGTGCAATTCTACGCGGCACTACGGTGCAATTCTATGTGGCACTTCGGTGCATTTATATGAGATGTGGTGACAGCATTAGTGCACAACCTCCATAAACTCACATATCTCTAGTTCTCACATATGTACATGGGCTAATCCAGAGATATGAACAAATATATGTTAGTGGTATGATAAATGTTATAGAAATGATATGATGTTGTGTGTGTATAGTGTTTGATTGAAAAGGTTAAGCATAAAAGTATGTGATTACATTGATAAACTGTTAATGATGAGTTATGTGTATGTATGTATTTACTGTAATTAATCTGATATGATTTTATATGATACGAAGAAAGCATGTAATTTGGTATAACATGATAGAACAGAACATGCATGTATTAATATATGTTATAAAGTGCATTATAAGTTTTTATGCCTCACTAAGTCTTCGACTTAGCGTGTGATTGTTTCACACGTAGGTTTCGAGAAGAGTAAAGAGTAATGCGGAGCAAGACAGGTCAGTTCTCCTTACCAAATGTCAGATCAGAAAAATATATATACTGTTTATAGAGTGTAGTTGGCATGTAGTCTAAAGATATAAATTGTATGAACTCTGATATATTTTGTAAACATTTTGAATAAGTTAAATGTTATCAAAGTTTTTAAATTACTCACTATTTTATACGAATAAATGTTTGAAAAGTTAATGTGACACTTCGGACTCGTATCCGGGTCGGATACGGGTTGGGGGTGTTACAATAATACACCTTAATGGAATTTATAGCTCTGTGATGTAATCTTCTATAGAACATGGATTAATGGTTGGGGAAAATAATTTGTTTGGTGATGCTTATTTCCCTCAGCGTGAGATAAATGATAATTTTTCTTGATGAATAGCTAATGATGTCATAGGAGAGCATCACAAGTTCAATTCTTCTTGTTTTCTGGCTTTTCATATTATTTGCCTTCAAGAAAGTGAAATGCTTCATCATTCTGGCCTCGTTCATTCTTTTTCTTCAATAGAGGTAGAATAGGCGACAACTTGCTTCATTGACCTTTCTCATTTGAGACTGTCCTGTTTGAAAATGTTTTTCCTCCTTTCATTATCGATGAATGAAAGAATTTTGTAAAATATTACCCCTTACAGGTTCACAATATAATCAAATCATAAAACATGAGTTTAATGAATATCAAATAAATCAACTACACTTTTAAATCAAAAAATCATAGTCATATGGCAAATGTTGAAATTATTGACTGATTTAAGGTGTAGGTTGATTCTGGTAAAGTAAGGTCTCTCAGGTTGGTCAAGCATATATGTCTTTTTTTCGCTTCCACAATCTTGAAGGAATGATTACATCTTGAACCCCCCCCTTTATCTTTTTTCATATCATGCATTAAAGAATTAGAAAAACTAATTTTTGCAAATAAAAAATCAATCCTGAGAGGCGGAATGAAATCTGAAGATAGTCGCTTTCACATAGAAATCTATGTATGATTAGAATGGACTTTTCAGGTACGTAACGTAGGCTAAGGCTCATGGTTATGAAAGAAATGGATAAAAAGGCTCAAACAAGTTTATTTATTGCACACTAAGACAGAGAAAGGAACAAAAACATGTTCAAACAAGATGTTGAAAATAGAAAGGTACTATAGTGTTAGATAACAACTTCCACTTGTTTATGCATCATTACTCCTCTAATGTTGGGTGTGTAATAAGATCAGGGTCATTGTCCTCATTTGCCCCCCATTTCTTGATCGTTTCTTGTGTCAAGACCCCTTGTCAAGAAGGTCTCTATTTCTTTTAACAGTGGCCAACAACTCCCTGTTGAATGCCCCTTCACCCCCAAGTGAAAATTACAGAAGCTATTTTGATCATAACAATGGGCAGAAGGGTTTGGTGGCCCTTTCGTTGGTCTTGGTGTGATGTATCGACCTTTAACTAAATGAGGGTGCAAGTCTGAAATGGAAGTTTGGAACACCTCTAAAGTTTTTCTTGATCGCATGACTTTATTTGGTCGATCCGAACAACTATTTGCTCCTTTTCTTTTACAATTGCGGAGACTCTGGATGCGACATTCATTCACATCATCAGCTTTCTCTTTTTGATCTGTCGGGATCTTGGATGTGACTTTTGAGTTTCTTTCATTGATTACATTTTCAATTAATTCTCCACTTGTCACAAGATTCTCGAATTCCTTCGTAGGATTTACCGACATTAACTGAAAGAAATGAGCAGGAATGGAATCCCGAAACATATGTGATATCTCTTCTTCTAACATGGGAGGTTGAACTTGTGCTGCCACTCCTCTCTATCTTAAGACATACTCTTGAAACCTTTCATTGGATTTCTTTCTTACTCTTTGAAGATCCATACGTGTTGGAGCTAAGCCTTTAGTATACCGATATTGTCCCAAAATAACATCAGCTAGATCAACCCATCTCTTGATCTGTTCTTGGGTCAAATGATTGTACCATACTACTGCTGGGCCAATGAGGTTATCATGGAAAGAGTGAATTAACAGATCATCAAAACTTAAATATCCTTCTATTTTTCTGTAAAACATTCTTAGGTGGATTGGGGGACAACTGGTGCCCTCATATTTCTCAAAATCAGGCATTTTGAATTCATGGGGAATAACCAAATCTGGAACCAAGCTGAGCTCTCATGCTTCTAGTTCTTTGTGGGAAATATTAACACCTTTCATATTTCTGATTACTTCATCTGCCTTATTGAATCTTTCCTCATATTGTGAATAATTAACGAGGCTATTCTTTGGGTTCGATTGGGATGTCCCAGGGTATGTTATCATTCTCGACTCTTCAATCTGACAGTATGGTTGCTCTTTATCCGTTATCTCTTCTTTATCAGATGACATCCCCTGAAAAATTTGATTTGATCCATCTGGTACTTCTTTACTTGAATCCTGAGGTAACCTTGTCAATTATTCTGACCACTGATCTTGTAGTCCCTCATAAGATTGCTCTATTGTTTTCATGATGATGGTAAAGTAAAATGAATGAATGATATTGGTTTTACTGTTACAAAACCTTTCAAGAATTATTTATATGTTTTTATAATTAATGTATATAACAATACTTAAAATAACAAATGTAATGTAAATATGAAAATGCATAAATGAAAAAATAAGAATGTAAACTGTGTAATGCAAAAACAAACATAAAAGTATGAATACAAAAATGAAAATGCAAAGATGTGAAATGCAAATGCTTGTATGAAAAGGTGTTACTCAAGAGTGATAATCTTAGAACAGATTTCATTGAACACAAAAGTTTTTGTGCATCAAACAAAACTTTTACATGTAGGGGACATCTTTTCAGTCCTAACTTCAACAAAACTTTACATATAGGTGACAATATTCCCATTTTCTTCTCTAAAGCCAAGTTTGTCTATCAGCTTATGGGCCATATTGCTTGTCTAGACTACAGCTTCTTCCATGATATTCTGGTGTTCCTTCATCTCCTGTGTTAATTCTTGGAATTGCTCATTTTCCCTTGTAAGAGAACCTTTGTGTTCAAAAAGTTCTTGGACAAGATCTTCATATATGCTGTAGTTCTTTTTCAGTTTGGTGACCCCAGTTATCCACTCTTCTGGGGTGTTTCCTATGCCAGTATTTTGAAAGGCTTGATTAATCTTCTGGAAATCTTCATGCATGGTTTTCATTTTGGTGCTCAATTTATCGTTTTCAATCTTTAAATGATGTATTTGAGCCTCAGACCTCAGCAAATCTTCTTCTTTCTGGGCGCCCCTACTGATATTATTACCTTTGAAGACTTTTGGTATTAATCTAGCAGGACTTTCAGTTACCACATTAGGTCGATCATTTATCATAAATTGTAAGGTTCCATGATCCAAAAGACTTTGGACTCGACGTTTGAAGGCAAGATAATTCTCGATGGTATGTCCTTAAGGTCCGGCATGATATTCACAATAAACATTGATGTCATACCAATTCGGATACGGAGGTTGGAATGGTTTTATGTAGTACGGAGCCACTTCTCGTGCTTCAAGTAGCTTCTCATACAATTCTTTATATGATATCGTGATAGCATCAAAATGAGAACCACCTTTTGTCTTGGATTGAACCTGAGTTTTAGGCGTCGGGAGCAAACTAAACTTCGACGGTTTCAGATTACATGATTTCTTCTCATCTCTGGAAGCTTTTACATTTTTCACCATTTCTTTGGTATCTCCAGACAATTTGTGAATACAAATGATGACTGTATGTAATTTCTCAAATTGGTTAAGATCCGAAGTTCCTTGTATATATGAGATTGATATGTTATGTTCATTGAGTTCTCTCTCTTTTTGTGTAGGAGTCTCTTTTCCTTTGGCCAAAACAGATATTGTACCCATCATCTTAGACATCTGCTCTCTTATTTCTCGTATCTCCTTTTTCTCTTCAATGGGCATACGATCTTTGGGTGGATAGCTCTCTTCTATCCTCGGAGTTTCCTCGGGATGCCATTTATGAAGTATTTCCAATTTGATGAACATTCTTTCAAGTCAACACCTTTTGGTTATGCCATGATCATGCAATGCAAACAAAAGAAATCAATATAAAAAGTTAAGGCAAAACAAAATGTATGAAAAAAATGAGAAAGAAAAAAATAAATTGGTTAGTACCAATTAATGGAAATAAAAGATTCTACCTATCATGGTATATAATATATCCTAACCTCATGTTTTATAGTTCCATGCTTTGTTTGGAAAAATTAACCTAACTGCATTATTTCTAGTTCACATGCATTTATTTAGGAAAAAATGAAATAAATTAAAAAACAAAAATTAGAACTTATTTCTCTTTTGTGTATACCTATGGATAGGGTTTCAGTATTGTCTTAGATATGAAGAGTTTATAGGGTTTATTATATTCAGGGTTTCAGTTCTAAGAGTAAAGGTACTCGAACTATCCTTGTTGGTTCCCCCTTAGGCTGCCAAACCCTCAATCCTAGTCCATCATAGACGTAAGCGGACCGAGTTCAATTCGAGGGGACACATTTCTCTATGCCTGACACAGAGAATAAATTCTCACGAAGACATAGAGCATACGAACCCCAAAAGTTACTTGTTAGGTCTGACACAGAGAATAAATTCTCACGAAGACGTCACTTTCACTCCCACTTAAAAGGGACAAGCTTGATTATAAAGCTTATGTTATGCAACACACGTGTTGTGTGTGAGGAGAAATGTTCAAACCTCTGACAAACAAATAAATAATGAAATTTAATACTTGAAAATAAAATAAAACATTAATAATATATATATATATATATTATGAAAATAATAAGTATATATAAAAAATTTGAAAAGAAAGAAATATAAATTAAATATATGAATTTTTAATTTCTAATTAATAGAGACAATTTATAATTGATTTTAAAGCTTGACTAGGTCCCCAGCAGAGTCGCCAAGCTGTCGTAACCGGTTTTCGTCCGGGCACGAAATTTTACGTGGCAGGAAAAATAATTTGGATAAAAAATGATTTTAATTTAAAAAATGTTTTGGGAGTTGCCATCGACCTTTTTGGATCAGGTAGGCTGAAAACCTAAAAATTATCTTTTAAAAGAGTTTTTAAGAAAACATCAATTAAAAGATAAACTAGTCTGCGTTTTAACAAAAAAATTGTTCTTTTTAAATTTTAATAATAAAAAGGGATTCGTGCTCGATTACGTTTGGAGAATGATTAGCACCCCCACAACGCCCAAAATTGGTACTCATTAATTATAAATTGTCTCTATTATTGGAAATTTAAAAATTTAAAAATATATTTAATTCATAATCCTGTTATTTCAAATTTATTAATATAATTTTAAGAAAATATATTAATAAGATATTTATTTACTTAGAAATATCAGAAAATGACTTCTAGGCGCTTTAAGACATCACATTTCTTAATATTAAAAAATGAATAAATATTAATAAAACATTTTTATAAAAATAATTAAAATTAGTATATATAATTTATAAAAATAGGATATTTATTTATTTAAAAATATCAGAAAATGAATTCTAGGTGCTTTAAGACAGCCCATTTCTTAATATTAAAAAATATATAAATATTAAAATATGATTATTTTTCTAAGAAAATAATTTAAATAAAACAATACGTATTTTCTGGTTTTTATAAGTAAGATATTTATTTATTAAAATACCAGAATAGGACATCTAGTTGCTTTAAGACTGTCATTTTCTTTGATTTTAAAAATAAATAAATAAATATTATTATTTAAACAAATATATATATATATATATATATATTTATAAGACTAAGATAAAAAAATAATAATTAAAGCAATAATTAAAATATAAAAGTAATAACAAAATAATATTGCAAATAAATAATGATTAAAATAAAAGAAATTAAAAGCAATAATTTTAAATTGCAAAATATTGAAAAAAAATGAAAAGAAACAAAATATTGGTGACTAAAATAATTAAAATTAAAACAATAGGATTAAAATATAAAAAGTAATAAAACTTGTAGTTAAAAATGAAAGTATTAAAAAATAGTGATTAAATTAGAACATATTAAAATTAAATACCTAATTCATAGTTAATTATTTAAAATTATAGGGGCTAAACATGCTATTTTACCTTATTATTACTTTAGTGACTAAAATAAACATAATTAAAACAATATAATTTAAATGTAAAATATTAAAATTCACAGACCTAATTCGAATTTAGCCTTAATTAATTATTTCGGGATTAAAATATTAAATATAAAAATATGAGGGACTAAATGTTGTATTTATCCTAAATATATATATGAACTGATAATGACCAAATTATAAAGTATATAAAATTAAAAGGCCGAATTTAAATGATCAAAAATTGCTTTTAGTGACTAAATTGCAAAGTTACAAAAGTATGAGTGTTACGGAAACAATTTTCCCACGTGGGAAATTACACAGGCACCCCTCACTAAAACGACGTCATTTTAGTGAGGGTATTTATACCTCTTTTGTTAGGATTTTCGGAAGCTCGAATCGACAATCGGAACGGTTTGCAAAGAGGGGTCGGAACGGTTTTGTGTTTAGGGAGTAAGGAGATTGAAAGATAGAAAATTGCACAGCGATTTAGAGTGGTTCGACTTTCTCAACCAAAGTCTACATCCACTACCTTATCTCCTTACCAAGGATTTTCCACAAATTCACTAATTTGTTCTTTCTTTTGAGGACAAAGAGATAACCTTACAACTCCCTAGTTTTTCCGGGCTAAACTAGAACATTTCCCTAGCTTTTACACGGGATAAGCTAGAACCTTTCCCCTTTACAATAGGATAAAAGATTTAAACAAGAAAACCTCTCTAAGGTAGGTGTTTACAAGATTGAGCTCACAATAACAAAATATTTACAAGAGAAAGATGAAATAAGAATGAAAAACTCTTCTCTTGTGTTTGATTGCTTGGATAGTTGTTCTCTTAATTCTTCAAGTGTCCTTAGCTTGTATTTATAGCTTGGAATGTGTTTGAAGTCATATCTAGCCGTTGGTGATGTTTTGGAGCCGTTTGGGAATGATTTTTCTGCAAAAATAGGCTACCCAGAATGGGGGGAATCGGTACCCCTTCATAGGGAATCGATACCCCTTCATAATATTCAAATATTATGACTGTTGGGCTGATGAACAGTGAGGGAATCGGTACCCTCAAGGGGGGAATCAGTTCCCTTCGAGTAATCTGTTATTTCTCGGAGCCAAACCATACAGGGGGAATCTGTACCCCTTGGGGGGAATCTGTTCCCGGGGAATCGATACCCCCTGGGGGGAATCTGTACCCCCTGAACAATCTGATTTTTCTTGAAACCCTTTAAAAAGAGAATATTTTTGGCTCGATTAAGGCTCGAAATACTTTGTAAAATTGTTTTAAAATAGTTTAAGTATAAAACACAATTTTACATTTTAGTAAGGATTAAAATGAACTTTGAAAGACTTGGAGTAATATTTTGATATTCGAATAATTACATCGAATATACTTAGAAAATCTTTTGTAAAATCATAAAATTCATTTAACTTAATTTGTTATATCGAAACATCAAAATGTTTTCAACAATCTCCCCCTTTTTGATATAACAAAACATTTGAGTAATTTTAAGATTTTGAAATAAAGTTTGAAATTACTCCCCCTTACTTTAACACTTATCCCCTTTAAAACACTTTAATACTTCTCCCTCTTTTTGTTAAATCAAAAAGACTCTAATCTTTTAAAGTTCAAAATAACTTTGGAGAGTAAGTAGTAAATTTGAAATTTTAAAAATCATTTGAAAAAATAAAAGCTCCCCCTCAATAAATGCATTCCAAATAAAATTTAGCTTTAAGAACAAGAAACTTAAACAAAATTGAATTTCAACAAAGAATAACAAACGTGTTAGTAGCACATGAAATTCAATATATCCAAGACTAAAATACTTTATGCAATACCAATTGTTGAAATTTGATATCAATACCAATTGTTAAAATTAAGTGCATATGCATAAAGTTTTCAAAAAATGTTATGCATTTGAAAATTTTGATATCAATTGTTAGAGAGATATCATTTTCATTTAAACCACATGCATAAACATTCAAATTTAGGTCAAAAATTTTAAAGTTTGTAAAATCAAAGTATTTGAAAAATTGATATCAATTGTTAGAGAGATATCAATTGCATTAAAACCAATTTTGACCAAAATTTTATTATGATGAACTAAAAATTCTTAAAAATTAATGTAACTTTAAAATGTTCATCATAATCATCTTTTCAACATACATGATATTAAAACAATGATGCATAATCATTTAAAAACAAAACTCATGCATGCTTAAAATCAAATGAGCAACCAAATAACCAAAATTAAAAGCATTAAGCTTAGAGGTTACACATTCCTTATTCATGTTTGGCTAGAGCATCTTGAATATCATCACTCTCATCATCATTGCTCCCACACACCTACAAGAGACATTTAAGTAGATTTTGGTATCCAAATTGCTTTGGATCATTGGACGTTAGTTTCAATGCCCCTTGTTCCTTTCGGAACCCATACTTGCCTAATTTTAAAATGTTATCCTTTCTTCAAAGGACAAGTATGTTCCAAATGACCATGATAATGACAATGTGAGCATATTGTCATTATTGAACTAAATGAATTATTTAAAATGATTTCTTTTTCTTTTGTTAAGCATTCAAGCTTAACTTTTAAATCAAAATTTTGTTTTTCAAAACTATCAATTTTTATTTTTGAAAGCTCTAAATCCTTTTTCAAAATTTCATTTTGGCTTTCAAAATCTATTTTTGTTTACAAAAGAAAATCGTTTTCAATTTTAAATTTTGAAATCATTTTCTTATATTTGGAGTTCATGATCTCAAACTCCGAATATAACCTATTAAAAGCATCTTGTAACTCATCAAACGTATATGAATCAAATTCATTTGAGTTAGAAGATACCTCAGGCTCTTCATAAGCCATTAGAGACACCACCTTTGTTGGTTCTTCTTTCTTGTTTCCATGGATTTCCTCGAGCTTATTCCAAAGCTCCTTGGCACTTGAACATGAAGAAACCCCTTCATAGATTTCAGAACCAAATGCACAAAACAACATGTGCATGGCCTTGGCATTAAGTTGAGTTTTCTTCCGTTCTGTGTCACTCCACTTCTTCTCCTTCTTCTTTGGAGAAGAGTAGCCATTCTCGATTATCTCCCATATATCAAGATCATTGGATTGGATGAATACCTTCATTGATTTCTTCTAATGATGATAGTTGACTCTATTGAAGTATGGAGGTTTGTCGGTTGGTAGGGAGTATTCCATGTGGAACGAGCCAGAGGTGGAAGCTATCTTCTCGGTTGTGTAGGGAATTGGTAGAGCTTCTTCTAGGATCATCTCAAGGTGGTTAAACCTTCTTAACGAGTTAGTCTCTGATGCCAATTGTTAGGATTTTTGAAAGCTCGAATCGACAACCGGAACGGTTTGCAAAGAGGGGTCAGAACTGTTTTGTGTTTAGGGAGTAAGGAGATTGAAAGATAGAAAATTGCACAACGATTTAGAGTGGTTCGAATTTCTCAACCAAAGTCTACATCCACTACCTTATCTCCTCACCAAGGATTTTCCACAAATTCACTAATTTGTTCTTTCTTTTGAGGACAAAGAGATAACCTTACAACTCCCTAGTTTTCCCGGGCTAAACTAGAATCTTTCCCTAGCTTTTACACGGGATAAGCTAGAACATTTCCACTTTACAATAGGATAAAAGATGTAAACAAGAAAACCTCTCTAAGGTAGGTGTTTACAAGATTGAGCTCACAAGAACAAAATATTTACAAGAGAAAGATGAAATAAGAATGAAAAACTCTTCTCTTGTGTTTGATATCTTGGATAGTTGTTCTCTTACTTCTTCAAGTGTCCTTAGCTTGTATTTATAGCTTGGAATGTGTTTGAAGTCATATCTAGCCGTTGGGGATGTTTTGGAGCCGTTTGGGAATGATTTTTCTGCAAAAATAGGCTACCCAGAATGGGGGGAATCGGTACCCCTTCATAAGGAATCGATACCCCTTCATAATATTCAAATATTATGACTGTTGGGCTGATAAACAGTGAGGGAATCGGTACCCTCAAGGGGGGAATCGGTTCCCTTCGAGTAATCTGTTATTTCTTGGAGCCAAACCATACAGGGGGAATCTGTACCCCTGGGGAGGGAATCTGTTCCTGGGGAATCGATACCCCCTGGGGGGAATCTGTACCCCCTGGACAATCTGATTTTTCTTGAAACCCTTTAAAAAGAGAATATTTTTGGCTCGATTAAGGCTCGAAATACTTTGTAAAATTGTTTTAAAATAGTTTAAGTATAAAACACAATTTTACACTTTAGTAAGAATTAAAATGAACTTTGAAAGACTTGGAGTAATATTTTGATATTCGAATAATTACATCGAATATACTTAGAAAATCTTTTGTAAAATCTTAAAATTCATTTAACTTAATTTGTTATATCGAAACATCAAAATGTTTTCAACATCTTTAAACCGGCCCCCAAGGGCTATTAGCTTCATTTCTTCTCTTTGGTTCTCTCTCTAAGAGAGAGAGCCCTCTCCCTTCTCTCTAGCTTCCCTCTCCCAAAACAACCTTTGTTTTACCTTAAAACCAAAATCAAGGACCGTTTAGCCAAAAGACTCTTAAATCGGCCTAGATATAAACTTATTACCTTCGGTATTTCGGCTTTTCAACGGCGTAGGGAAGCTTCAACGAGGGTAAGTTCTCTCAATCTCCCTTTTTTTCGTTTGTTGTGTGGTTATTGTTTTTTCTCGGTATTCTCTGTCTTGCTCTCCGTTCGTCGTTTCTGTTGTGTTGTTGGTGTTGTTTTGCTCTTGGGTTCTTGCTCTTTGTTTCTCTGTCTTTGCTCGTTGGTTCCTCCTCTCCTTTTTGTAGGTTAGTCGATGGGTTTTATAGCCATTACCGGCGATGGCCTCGGACCGGTCACAAGGGTTGAGCCTCGGTGAGTCACCATAGCTATAGTGGTGACTCACCATAGAGCAAGCGACGTAGAGGGGCAACTGGCCTTCTGGAGGTTTCGTCGGGGCGGCAGAAGGTGTTGACGTGGGGCGGCTGGCCGTTGGCAATGACTGGTTGGAGCATTTGGCAGCAGAAGCGGCGGCTGTAGTCCCTAGGGTATCATAATCCTAGGGCTTCTTGTTGGATATCTCTGGACCGTTGGATCTTGATAGATCCAACGACTAATGGTGGATGGCGGCTGGAGAATATATTGTAACCCTAGAAGGGTTTAGGGTTATCATCTAGGCTTTTGGAACTGGGCCACCTTGTTTGGTCACTGTTGGGTCAGAGTTGGGCCTGGTTGTAAATGGGCTCCGGGATTGAATTTATTTGGGATTGTATATTTTTATTTAATAATAATATAATATATATATATATATATAATAATATTTATAATAATAATAATAATAATAATAATAATAATAAAAGTAAAATGAAATGAAAAAATTAATGTTTACAGGTATAAAATAAGAATTTAATTAAAAATAATAATATTTTTATATTATTATCCATCGATTGAGTCGGGTTGGAGTTTTTTCATCCTCCAACCGACCGACCTCACTACCTTAAAAACCCCAACCGAACTCAATTTTTTTTTTAAAAATCCAACCCTATAAAATAGACAAGGTTAAAACCCGTTGAATTTGTATTAAATTTCTATCTCATTCCCATGTTAGATGTTTTCAATGAAGGGTAAAACAAAATTAGTTAAATATTTACTCATTCCTTGAAACCAAATTTGCATCAATCAAACCCAAGGATTGCAAGGAACAAAAGAATATTAATGCACTCGAAACATGGATTCCAAGAGAATATCTATAAAACGAAATGCGAATGACTAAGAACACAGTATGATCGGTTACATCCCTGACCGGACTCGTTGCCGGTCATCCTCAAACGGAGCAGCAAACCTGGAAGAGAAATTACGAAGCAAATCATCTCCTTCTTGATCATCATCAGCATCATCGAAGTTGAGCGCATAGCTGCAAGCATCTCCTTCTTTTTAATTGGTGCTACATTATTTTGTTTGATTGCTTATTATTTATTTGATTGGTTGAAATTGATTTGAAAGATGAATGTATATTCCATGTTGGCTTGTCGGATTTTAATGGATATTATACATTTGAAATATTTGAATTTTTGGGTGATTTGTCAGATTCAGAATATATGTATGTAATCAGAATAAATATTTAGCTGAAAATATGTAATATTCAAATCATATCAGGTAATTATGTCATATTGATTTAGATTCTGACATAGGAAGTTTAATGCATTCATTCGACCTAAGGATGAGCACGGTTGAGGCAGGCTGGGTTTTTGGCCCCTCGACCCAGACCCAAAAACATATAAGTACAATCTTCCCTAAACTCATCCTCGATTTGACAAGAGTCAACGAACTAACAGTTGTACTCGCCGTGACCTTAAACGATCGACCACCACACGACGGTGGCGACAACAACCAAATAGAATCAACGAGAATGGGTTTCACGGCCAATACTCGCGATTTTTACACAAGCGCTGCCCCGAGGCAACGGCAGCAAACTGGGTTGCGGCTGGGGTCATAAGGAACGTCCGGCGACCTTACCTGAACGATGAACGGCGACGAAACGAGCAAGGGGTGGCGGCATTAATGGGAGAATGGCTGCTGCTAGGGTTTGAAATAAATTAAAAAGAAGGCCGCGCACAGAGATATAGTTGAGGAGGGAAAGGGGTATGTTTTAAAAAAATAGGTTAATTACGAGGTTGGTCTTCTAACTTTCTAGTGTTCATGAAATAGGCTCCATACTTCCTAATTTTTCAATTAGGTTACTGAAATTGATTTAGAAATTTAAGATACAAATCCCCATTTTCCGGGTTCAAAATTGGGATTTAATATGGGTGTTACAGACCGTCATTAATAGCAAGACTTTTATCAAAACATTCATCACTTTAAATTGATAAAAATAATATAAAATCTAACATCTTAAAATCGTTTATTTTGAAATATATTATTTATTTTCTTAGAATAATATTTTTATTATTATTCAAATCTTTTAACCAAAACATTATATTTCTCAAAAGACTTATTGTATTTAATTTCATAAACTCCAAAGAAGTTTTGATAACTTAATAAAGTATATGACATTGGAAATACAAACAATTATATTTCTCCACTGTTCGCCTGAAAAGTGATGTAAGATTTCGTCTTAATTTACAAAAATAAAGTATGAAACCGTCTATAGAAACCACTGTATACATTCCATGGCAAAGCACATATTGAAACCAAGCAAAATGAAATAGGAGATGATTGTTCGAATTCGTTTTGAGACTCGGGGTTGTTAACTTCACTGTGGGTTCTGTCCTTTGGGTGAAATTCTCGCCGCCATCGAGCGTAACTCGTTCACGATCTCGGTGAGGTTCGGTCTCTCTGATGGCTCTGCTGACCAGCATCTCTCCATCAACGATCTCCATTCCGGATCGCATGATTCCGGGACCGGTGGACGGAGTGTATTGCTCACAATGCCACCTGAAAGAATTCGAGGCGAACGATCGTTGGCGATTAACCGTGTGATCCATCGAAGCACGGAGAATGGAATTCATGATTACATTTATAGATAAGGCAATTTACCAATGATAGTGCCATAGTGCAAGTCTGCATATGGCTCTTCTCTTGTGAGAAGCTCCCACATCACGATACCGAACGAGAATACATCGACCTAAATCAGAGACGATTCCGAAACAAAGATTATGCAATTAAATATATGCAGGGGGAGAGAAAAGAAAGCATTTTCATGAGAGGGCACTAGACTATATGGCAATCACAAACCTTCTCCGAGACGCGACTGCTGCTGCCATTCAGAAGTTCCGGTGCCATCCACGGAAGTGTTCCACGTAAGCCGCCTGATATCAAAGTTTGACATTTCACCTTGGATAGGCCCAAATCACCAACCTGGTAGCAAAAACTATGGATGAGAACTAAACCAATTGAATGAGTTTCGAATGAATCGAAATAACTTGGCTTGCTCCTCGTGTCGACCGATGATCGAAGGACTAACAACATTTTACAATTATGTAAAAGTGCAAGCAAACGTTGCTTTATTTAAATGGTTACATGCATGAAACAAGACCTTGCTCTGTTCCTATGTTATTGGTGTCTGTTGTTCTCGAACCAAACATAATTTACGAACCTTGCATATCGGGCGATGAGCGTCTCGGAGATTGACAAGTAAATTATCACTCTTCAAATCAAAGTGCACTATGTTCTTCCCATGCAAATACTCCATTCCGAAGGCCACATCCATGGCAACCAAAATCCGTTTACGCTTATCAAGATTCCTAACAGCAACAATTTGTCCAACAGTTATTCATATCGAAATAGATTTATAGTCGAAACACAATTACGAGAAGGCTGTTGTTTAGCGTAGCAAACGGAACTGCTAGTACCTCTCGGTCTTCTGCAAAGCATTTCTTAAAGAACCGTTAACCATATATTCTGTCACTGTTGCCACAGAACCACTGGGACCATCAAGCACGACACCGTAGAAAGCCACGACGTTTGGATGATGCAAATCAGCAAGCTTAATAGCTTCATTCCAAAAATCATCGATCTAAGCATGCGCATTCACCGCAGTACAAGTGGTTAGTGTGTGAAATTACAAAAAATGGAACCAATTTGAAACACATTAGGAGATTGCAACAAGAAAAGGAGGAGCCAAACCATGCGTTCTTGTTCAGAGGATTTTCCGGCAAAACATCTATCATTGATTCGTTTAATTGCAACATCAGTACCTCGCCACTTCCCATGATAAACAGTACCAAAGGTGCCAGAACCAATCTCCCTCAGCTCTTCAAGGTCGCTGTCTTTTATAATCTGCCAAATGAATTTATAGCTAAATTAATGGCTAACAAAAGTTAAATGCAGAAGCACAAACAAAACATAAAAACAGTACTTAAAAGTTCAACCTGCAAGCGACCGATGCCGTCAGAAATTCGAATACCAAAATTTGTTTTACCTAGCTGTTTAGTCTTGATTTCCTAAGACAAGAAAAATAGTATGAAAGACGGTTCGATAAACGCATCTAGAGAAGGCAGCCATAAATAAAATAGGACAATGAGCATAAGGTGGAGAACAAAGAGATCTTATATTCCACACCTCCAATTTAGCTTTATGTTGCATTTTAATGTCACTAGGTAAAACATTGTTGTCTTGATTTCCTTCATAACCAGATGCATTGGTCTCTGTCGATATATGGGGATTGGAATGCGAAGACGACTGGAAAATAGACGCAGCTACTCCCTCGGCAACAGCTTGTAGTTCTTTCTTGACGAGATCCTCGGAGGAGCCTTTGGCAGTGAATGTAACAATGAGAAACATTTAGTCCAAACATTAAATGATAAATTCCAACATTATATAGCAAACCAAAACTCAAATATCTCACCTTTAGTAGACTGTATCTGGTCTGAATTCTTGTTTAACTGACTTAAAGGTTGGTGAACTTCATCCGCCGATTCGATATTTGATTCCCCACCAATTACTGCCTGGTTCTCTCCAAAAGGGTCTCCGGTAGCTAATCCTTCTCTCTTTGTTTGAATTTTGTTAGGTGTAAGAGGAGGGAAGTAAGTATCTTGATGTAAAGTCCAAGGATCTTGATTGCTAAAAAGTGAGTTGGAAGAATCCAAAACATCTCCACCTTTATTGGATGGCGAAAAGTAACCTTGGCTGATAGCATTTGATGGAGCAGCTTCTGTATTGCTTTGTGGAATCTTCTGTTGCATCCAAGAAACATCATCCAATCCTAATGTATGTGCTGAATCAACAGGAAAACTAGTCTGCTCATTTTTCATCTGTAGAGTCTCTGTCACCACATCAATTTTGATCAGATGGTTAGGGTCTATGCGATCTTCTTTAAAGACAGCCTGAACATTTGATGCTTCATGCACTGGCTGCTCTGAAGCTTGAATGCCAACTGCCCCAGAATTTGGAACCTCCATTTGAAACTGGTATTGCGTCGGCAGAACATATGGTGATTGCAATTCACCTGCCAAATCCATCAAATCTTGGCTTGCTGGACTCCTACAATGATTAGAATTATCTGTTCTTGGCGAAATATTTCTTTCATCTCCATTTTGTGCATCATCAAGATCTTGAGAAGATCCAACAGCTGCAGACTGAAGTCCTCCAACCTGATTATCAACGTGGCCAATATGTCGAATCCCAGATTGTTGCTCGGCAACGCCGTTGTTTCCAGTCACCACGACTTTGTTTACCAATGAAATTCCCATCGAGTCTTCAGGATACAGACTATGATAAATAGAATCTGTATTTACCAAAGGTGTTACACCTCCATCTCTTTGGTCCTGTGCCGAGGGATCAGAATGTTCATGAGTCAATGACTTCTGACACATGAAGCAGTCCTCTATCCTTGGTATCTTTTGAGGAGTAGATACTTCATTCCTAGGCAGTGACCCGTCGAAGACGACAACATTCTCAGTTTGGGGAATATGGTGGAAATTATAACCTGTTGCAACCATTGCTGATGGAATTTGGTTCTGATAAACATTGTGGCTCATATCAACAGGATGCTGAATTACCCTTGTTCCGAATGCTTTTTCACCAGGGTAACTCTCGAACGGAGTTTGTTGGTGTTGCATCAGTGGTTGCACCATGGCTGGTCTAATACCAACATGGGAGTTTAAGGGAGCCATAGTCATATTAAAAGCAGGAATGTACTGATAAGGAACAGCAGCATCACTAAGCTCCTGTTGGCTGAATACAGAACCAGTATTTCCCATCAACTCAGGAGTCGAGAACCCCATTTGAGGAGCGATATGCACAGTATGGTTCATAACACCATGGCAAGGATCAATATATGTAGATGCATAATGTTGATGCAAATCATATCCCATTTGCTGCGAAGTCGAAGTAAAGGGCACCGTCCGCCCTGACTCAACCTCAAATTGAGACAACAATGTTTGAGGATGATCAGGCTTAACCACGGGACTTCCTAAATGAACAGCTGATTTACAATCATGTGGAGTACCTGAATTCCCTCTAGGTGACAACATTTTTGTTGGTGGAGACCCACCAACATCCCCTTGACCAGCACCTATGCTATCGACTGCCTCGAGCCCACTAATATCAGAGTTCTGTGTTGAACCAGCACTTGCAGCTGATTTACGATCATGTGGAGTACCTGAATTCCCTCTAGGTGACAACATTTTTGTTGATGGAGACCCACCAACATCCCCTTGACCAGCACCTATGCTATTGACTGCCTCGAGCCCACTAATATCAGAGTTCTGTGTTGAACCAGCACTTGCTACGCTCGCCTTCCTCGTGATGCCACCTGCAGCTCCATCCAAAATCCCATTAACTGCCTCAACATATTTCTGCACATTGTCCTGCAAATCCCCAAACTGAACCATACAGGAAGGATCAAGTTCCAAAGCCGAAAACAAAAATACCCTTAATTTAGCAGACCCATCTGAAGACCTTTCAACCACTCTCTCACACTCATCCATCATATTATCAAGATCATCCGAGCACGAAATGGAAACCAATGCATCAAGGTCCTCATCAGGAAGCTGATACTTTATAACCACAGATTGTCCATAAGCATCGACCATTTTACGCTCGAACTCATCGAATCTCACATCCCTCCTAACACTAATAATCCTTGTCTGCCCCCCTACATATCTCAACATCCCATCTCCCGGTCTAGGCAATATCTTCCCCCCAAAGCTACACAACAACTTAACCTTCTTCCTTGACACAGAATCATCCCCACCCTCATCACTAACCTGATCGGCACCATTACCGTTACTTCCTAATCCTAAATTCGGTTTAACGTCACTGATTGATTGATCACTTATGTTACCACTACCCCTGTTTCCTATATTGGAACTATGTGCAAAACCTATAGGCACCCTATCATTACTCAATTGATCACTTCCATTCCCACTATTCCTATTGCCCAAACTAGGACTATAACCATGACTTACCTGATCCATGGCATTACCAACCACCATATTGCTCGAATTCAGGTTATAATAGAACCCGTCAACCGGCACCGGCACAGGCACAGGCATGTGTGGCCTCCGTGCAGAGACACCAGGTCCGGAAGGGTTGGGACAAAACCCTTCAATGTTTCTGCCACGGGCATTAGTAGTAGCTGCCACCGCATCCGCAATTTGAGGCTCTTCGGTTACAATTCCAGGCTTTCCAGCTACATTCAGTGAACTTAGATCTTTCTGTAACGAGCTTTGATCGAATGCCATAATCTTTAATAAACAGTTCAGCTAAATTATAGTCTAAATCAAGTCTAGGAGATAAAAAGCTAAGGGATTTTGCTTCTTTACTTGAAATATGACTTTTCACCTACTCTCTCTAAAAGGGTATATTCCAAAGGCAATAAGCAGAGCTAAAAACGATTCAGATAACAAAGACAGACGAAGAAGCGACAGAGACACGGGGATTCATGGTTTTCAATTGGGATTCAATGAATATCTTGTCTGTCTGTCTGTCTCTCTCGGGACTTTGTCTTTGGAAAATTTCTTTTCTCCTTTTTCTATGTGATGATGGATTGAAAATGGCAGTGAAGTCTATATTAAGTTTTTTTTTTCTTAGGCTGCAAGGAAGAAAGTAAGGGTCAAAAGACGAAACGAGGAAGATGACAGACGACGGCACGTGGACGGTTTCATGCAATATTTCAGTCAAAATCAATATGTGTTTGCTTTTCTTTTCTTTTTGTTCTTTTTTGGATTATTTGATTTTGATTTCATAAGAATTTCGTAAAGTAACATTTTAAGTATTTTTTTAAATTTTAATTGTAATTACAGAACAGTGACAAGTGGGCTCTCCATCCAAATTCCTTCTCTCTCCGTCGTCCGATTTAAACAATTATAAAATATGAAAATCCTTCCTATTTTAAAGTTTAATAATAAATAAATGTTTGTAATTACTCACAGAAAATTCTTGGAATATCTAAAATGAATTAATAAACCTATATAGTGATTAAAAAATAATAATAATAAATTAACAAAAAAAAGGATATTTCATAAAAAAAGTATTTTAAAAATAATTATTCAACAAAGATAACAAGTGTAGTAGCAATTAAAGTATTTACAGATCTTGTCGTACATAAATTTGATTTGGATGTATATTTTTTTAATTTTATTTATAAATTGAATAAAATCATGAATAAATAAAAATCATTTAATAAATTAATATTCATTGATTCAATTAATCAAAAAAATTATAATAAATCTTAATTTTCAATCTATTTCCAGAGTCTAATAAAAAAATATTATGGTCGAGAAAAAGTAATAATAAACTTGCTTCTTTATCTCACAAATAAAGGTTGATTTTATCACTAATTAGCTGATCTATCAATGACCAATTGATTTAGTAGGATGAGATGTTATATTTTTTAAGTAAGGTTAAGGGTTCGAATCCTGACGATTACGAATAGAGTAAATTGGGTTGAAAAGGGTCGTCATTGTCTCTGCAGTATCCGATCCGGATTAGTCGATCAATAGATCGGATATCGATGAAAATTAAGAGTTTAAATACTAAAACGAATCAAAACTGATAATTTAGATACTAAATATAAATTTTTAACGATCGAGTATTAAAATAAAATAAAATAAAAACTAAACATTAATATTATTTTAAAAGTGTTAAAAATTTAAGTGCATGCTCTAGTCAATTCAATAAAAGAAAAAGGGGGAAAAGAACCAGCTCTAGTCAATTCAACAGCAATAGAGGAGGAGATGTGGTGTGATTCAAGAAGGCCAACTGTTCTATAATAATAAAACCGTTAATTAAGGTATGGGCAGTTACATATGTATCATGGTGGACGGTTGCTAGTGGGAGATCTTTACCAAAAAGAATATCTATAAATAATATATTAGTAAATAAAAAATATAATTATTGATAATATAATTATAGATAATATTAGTAAAAAATATATTTATTAGTGATAACGTAATTGCTGTTATTTTTTAGATTTCGAGTTCCAGTACTAAGAATATCAAAGTGTTCAATATCAAATGATTGAGAGTTATTTTTAAACAGATATTATCTTATACTTACCTTATATTAATTAAAAAATCTATAAAATAATTTCTTTGGATCGATTTAATATTATCAAAATATTAAATAATTAAATAAAAATAAAATAGTGGCAAGTGGGAATTAAAAATGTAGTGCCGACATAAACAAGAGTGGAGTGGAATGTCCCTTAAAGAATTGTCGGGAAAATTCAAACCTAAAAGCTTCTTTTCCGTGGTGAAACCGCGTTGGATAGGGACTTTTAAAGTGCGCCAACTTTAATATATAGTTAATGAAAAATGTTATAGAAAATGTTAATTTTTTTTTAATATTTTAGGTAAAACGTTATTTAAAATTTTATTTATTTTTATTAGAAATATTAATATTGGACGCTACCTAAAATATTCAACATTTTAGGTAAAATGTTACATAAAATATTATTTTTTTACCGAAAATATTAATATTGGACCCTACCTAAAATATTATTTTTTTTCTTTAAGTAGCGAAATTAACATTTTTGGTAAAAAAAATATTTCAGATAACACTTTACAGAAAATATTTAAAAAATATTAATATATTCAATAAATTTTTCCTTAACCGTATATTAAATCTCATAACTACCCGCGTTGGTTTTATTTGGTTTAAATCAGAAAAAAAAAAGCAATAATTAATTTATTACAATCCTTCCAATAAGATGAGGTTGCTTGACTCTTTTTGGTAAAAAGACTTCAACTTATCCAATATTTTAAATTTTACTTTTTATCAAAGACTTCCATTACAACACGTAGAACAATATATATTTTAATTTATTAGTATAATCATTAATGTTTTCTAAAGGGAATATACATTGATAATATATATTTTTATACGACGAATACAAATAAAATTTTAGAATGGGTATAACTAATAAAGTAAATTACTAATCGAAGTTCACTTTTCATAGTGGCTACGTACTCACTAATTGTATGTGTATACTCCATTGATTGAAATTTTTAATTTTAAGAAAGCATTAGGACTAAAAATGAACAAATTAAAATATATAGTATAAATTTATAACTTTCACGTAAAATAAATAGGTGTAATGCTAAAAAAAAGTATGTAACATTCGATTTGATAGTCGCATTGGTCTATATTCATTTTTTTGGAGCATTTTGCATTCCAACATTTTATTTTGTGGCAAAAAGAACTTTTCTTAGATAAAAGTCGTTAATCAATAATGATTAATATTTTAAAATAGGGATTTTTTTGTCTTAAAATGAAACATTAGGACCGAAGTTTTAAAAAAAAATGAGTCAAATGGTTATTTAGTCAAATGTTGTGGGTCTTTTTATCTTAAAATGAAACATTAAGGGCAAAATACTCAAAAAGGAACAAGGACTGAATAACTATTTACTAAAACATTAAGTATATTTTTTGATATTATTCCAAATAAATATTAAGTAAAGGACCAAAAAAATGTTGGCTCTAAAGTCAAAACCTCTTACGGCTTCAAAGCTTTGCTTCATATTGGACCCCCCCCCCCCAAAAGCCCTAATTCATTAACCCATTTATCCCTAATCATCACTCTTAAATATAATTATTTGGGCTTGTATGGCTGATTTCCTTATCCTCCTCTTCTTATTTTCTTTATATCTTCTTGTATATATTTTTTCATAGTTGGTTTAAATATATTTTGGCTTAATTAAAAAAATAAGTGTCCAAACTGTACCCTTTTTTCTAATAGGTACCCAAACTTTTTTTATTCATCCAGGTGCCTAACATTACAAACGTTACTACTTTAGGTGCCTCGGCCGTAAGGACTATTAAATTATACCGTTAAAGAACACGTCATGTTGGCAATTTTCAATTCTTATTTAAAAATAAAAAAATAAATATATCATTATATTTATAAAAAAATAAAAAATAAAATAAAATAAACTTAAAAACCCAAAACTTTAAAAACCATAATTCAACCCCTAAAAACCATGTATGTTGTCGCCCTTTGTCGTCGATGAACCTCCACCTGACCTCACCTTCATCCAACGAGCGATAACCCCATGAAAATCCATCGGAATAACAGCCAATTGACGTGTGTATTCCGACGAATCTCGATGCTGCAAATGGCGACCCCATGTGATCCCGAAGGCCAATTAGCGGCAAGGATGACAACGTCTGACTAGGAAGATGACAATGACGACATTGACAACTGTGGTCGTGGGAGACAAGGACAACGTCGATGGGTTAGGGATAGAGATGTAGGATTTTCAAGGATTTGAGACTTTTTTGTAATTTAACAAAAATAATGGTTATTTTTTAATATAATAATATTTTATTTTTTTTAAAAAATAAAATTCTCAAAATTACCAAAAACGCGACACATGTCACTTAAAGGAGTTTTTTAATAGACATTATATTTTAGGGCACCAGTTGATAACGTTTGTAACGTTAGACACTTGGATTAAACGAAAAAAATATGGGTACCTGTTTGAGAAAAACGATATAGTTTGGGTACTTATTTTCTAATTAAGTCATATCTTTTTTATATTCAATATTTATTTAATTATTTTTTTGAATAGAGCCACTAGTATTATTAAAAAAGTGAAAATATCCGAAATTACAATAAGAGTTTACAAATATCATCGTAAACAAAATATATAATTTGGACTTTTCCTATAACATTGAAACTAATCACTTTAGATCATATAAGGACCATACATGAAAAATATTAAAAACTCAACCAAGAGACTAAAATAGATACGAATAATTCTGATTGCATCGACAAACGAACCACAAAAGGGAATTAAGCTATTGAAAGACCACTGAGAACTGCAGATCAGAGTCAGGCATCGTGAGAAACTATTCACAAACACAAAATCACGTATCCAAATTCAATCCAAATGTCCATAGCAGGAAAGATCAATAAGATTTCGAATAAGCGCCATCTTGATCGGTCGTTGCGTCGTCAAATCCAACCCTGAGAAAATATAAATAAAAGAACGGACAAACGACCGAGAAAAAAATCGAAAAATGTGTCACAAAGACAAAGATAAATGTGCCACAAAAGAAGAGATAAACGTGCAATACAGACAAAGATAAATGTGCAACACTTGACGAATTATTCTTATTAAAAAATAAAGAGAATAGGGAACCAACGGTTGACAAACAACATCAAAACCGATATCATCGTCGATTAAAGAAAAATAAAGAAGAAAAAATTGATATGATCTATAAAAAAACTATACAAAGTTAAAAAAAAAGGGAAAAAAAGGAACACAAAGGATGGAGAGAACAACCAAGGAAAAGGGGAGCGGCTAGGGTTTTGATAAGGCAAAAGTTTATAACTTTTGAAATTTTATTTAATTATTTTATTAATTACCTTAATTCGTTAAGCTATATATTAATAAGCAATCGTAATTATTGAAGATAAGTCAATGGTTGAATTGTAATAAAACAAATCATCATTTTTTATATTTTTTTACATTAGTAGTTAGTACTATTAATGAAATTTATTACTCACTGTCAACCATGGTGTTTGTTTGTATCTATGATATATTTTAATTGTTTTGCTGAGTTTTTAACACTTATCTCTATTAATTAGTTATTAATTGAACTTATTTAGCGGTCTAGTGATAAAAAATAATATTTTTTTAAAATAATTTAGCTTCAAACAATTACATTTGTATAGCGTGTATCGAATAATCAATGACATCAATTCAATCAACCGCATTATATATATATATATATATATATATATATATATAGAAAACAGAGTTAGTGTACTTTTTCAACACTATTTTTAAAATTAGTATGCAATTTGATCTCTCATTTCGTGCAACTTGACATTTGACTAGGACCGGGCACGGGCCGGGCCGGGTCGGGCCAAGGTTTTTGGCCGTCTCAACCTTGACTCGAAAACATATATGTAAAATCCGATCCCGCCCCATCCTAAACTCGTCCCGATTTTTAGGCTAAAATACCGATCCGAATATATTAATATTTAAAAATAATTAAAATAATATATTTTAGAATAATATATTTAAAATTATTTATTATATTTAAACTGTTAAATTAATGTATTTTATAATATTTTTATATTTTAATAATTAAATAATATATTTTAATAATATAAAAAAATTCTTAAAAAATTAATTATAATATATATATATATATTTATAAAAATAACCAGGTCAGGTCAGTGATTTTTCACCTTAAACCCAACCTCGTCCCGCTCTGAATTTTTTCACTACATAGCCCACCCCAATCCACAAAAATTAAAAAAACGCCCCCTATTGGGTCGGAACCTATCGGGTTCGGGTATTTTGACCATCCCTACATTTGAGTTTGAACTGTAAGTTTGTCCTAACTTTGGCTTGGATTTGTAATTTGGCGCCTAACTCTTTCTGTGCAATTTAATCTCTGAATTTGATTATGATATGCAATTGGACCATTAACTATATTTTTTTACAATTTTAAAATGATAATTAAAATTTCTATTATTTAAAAAAATACATGAAGGGTTAAGACTTAAATTTTAATTTAATATATGTTCAAATATTGAATTAAATATAAATATATATTAAAAATGTTTGAGATTAAATTATAGATCAAAATCAATGTCATAGATCAAATTATACCAAAAAGAAGAATTAGAGTACAAAAAATACGTTAATCTTAAAAAAATATAAAAGAATAGAATGCAAAAATGCATTAGGATAATATATAATATAGTAATATAATACTTTTTTATCTAAATTAATATTCGATTAATAAGTGAAATTAAAATCGGATCAAATATTTAGAATATATAATATAGGGTAAATTAGGCATTTAGTATCTAAATTATCAGTTTGGGTCAGTTTTAGTACCTAAAATTTCATTTTTTTCAAAACTATACCTAAAGTTTAGCTTTTGATTCATTTTAGTACTCCGTTCAAAATTTAACGTTAAGTTTTTTTTTAAATTGAAAGTTTAGACACTAAATCGATTCAAAACTGATAGTTTAGGTACTAAACACATTAAGTTTTTAACAGTAGGTACTAAAGTGAAACAAAAAATAAACGCTATGTATGATTTTGAAAAATATTAAAAGATTAGGTACTAAAATAAATCAAAATTAATAGTTTAGGTATTAAATGCATAGTTTACCCTACAATATATTTAGTGGCTGTGTATGGTACGCAATTGCGGAATTCCCGGTGAGCGGCTACCATGAAACTTCATTCCCTCTTTCCTCGTCCCTTAATAGTTCCAGCAAAACATTGCCTTCGATGTTCAAGCACTTTTCAATCAGATTCCCCTGTTCTCTTTTTCATTTTAATATCAGTTTCTTTTCTGATAGTCTTCTCTTCGTAATCGCCTCCTAGATAGCTTCAATCTGTTTCAATGGCCGGTATGCTTCCCGGTGTTGAATGTGCTAGAAGGAGACGGACCCGCCCGAACGGAAGCTCATCCGATTCACCAATCGTCGCTGCAATTGGCTCCACAAGGAAATCCTGTTTTTGTCTGTATGCAACCAAACACGAATCTCATTTTTGTTTACAGGTATTTCTTCAATATTTAAATCTATTTCAAGGATCCCCCCTTAATTTTCGGCTGATGGGACATGAATTGCAATCAATTTTCACAGCAGTTGATTTGCGATAATAATCGCACTAATTTGATTGTAATTGAGATTGATTAGGTTTTTCTTTTTGGGAAAAAAAATGAAAAATATAGAAGCAAAGGAGCATATTAGTCGAGGCCTGTGAAGATGAGAAGCTGGGAGGAACAGCAAGAGAAGCTAAGAGAAGATTAGATGAGAGGTTGAGATCACAAAGAAACTCACATCCTAAGAGGTAAAAAAATGGCTGAATATTTATATTAAAGATCATAGTAAATTACATCCTTTTTCACTGAATTTAACTTTCTCTCATATTTTATTTATTATATATATTTTTTTAATTTACTTACTGAACTTTACAGATTGAATCATTTTGCTCACTCTATTTTTATCTTTCTAACGTTTTGATGATGTGTTATTTTTTATTATTATTTAATATAAAATAATAGAAAATATAAAGGGTAAATTATATCGCTCTTCATTGAACTTCACTATCTTTCTTATTTTGCTCACTCAACTATAAAATAAAACGACGTCGTTTCGACGTATATATGAGTTTTTCAAAATGATGTCGTGTTGATGCTTGTTCCATTTCATAACACTATTAAAAAATTAACGACAGAGTGAACAAAATGATTCAATCCGTAAAGTTCAACAAGCGAATTAGAAGATTTGAAAGTACGGTGAATAAAACAAGGGATAGAGAATAAAGTTCAATGAAGAACAATATAATTTACCGTAAAGCTCACGTTAGCAAAAGTGTTAACCGAAAAACGTTTTAAGAGTTAATTGGACCTTAAACCATAATTTACAGCATATCGGATTTAAATTGTTCATACAATAAATATGTGTATTTGCAAATTAATCCACTTATTTTATATATGCTTTATGTTATGCTTAATGTAATTAGTTATTTTTAGCTTTTTCCTTTCGAACTTGTCATGTCCGTGCATTTGGCCATTGAAATTCATCAGGAAAAATAACAAAGAGAATTTGGAGAGAGGGGGCTTGGATTCACAAGGGTTTGAACCAAAGAAGAAGAGAGTTAGGTGGGCCAAGTAGAAATTACGCTCACACTGTGTAAATTATCATATAATAACATATATACTATTGTATTCTTATTTTTAATAATATATAATAAATTGTTAATATAACTAATACTATTTATTGTTTTTGTTATACTTTCGAAAAATAATTTCTAAAAATTTGTTCAGGTTAAATTCTCTGATAAGTCCTTCTATTTATCGGAACTTTTAAAGATTTCGTATTCTTTGAATATAGATTTTCAAATCATGGTAACTAAGCATAGATATGATCTTCATTATTTCATGTGAAGGATTGCTGCTTCGCTCCCATGCCATATTATCAACTCTCTTTTTTCACTCGGTTATCTACTTCTTTGAAGATATCAAGTTGTTTCGCAATTTGTTTATCGATACAATCATATTTGTTTGCATCTGCCTTTATTCGAGTTTTGGTTAAAATTTTTAATATTTTTTGTATGGTTTTATTTGCCTTAAATTGCTAATTTTGTATCAATAATTTTAAGAAAATATCTGAATTATGTATTTAATTTACGATTATGATTGTAAATTTCCATTGTCACTTGAAATATTTTTAATAAAACTAGTGGTTTCTATATATATATATATATATATATATATATAATACTTTTAGATTATAATAGGAATTTATTTATCTTAAAACCCTAAGCGCCTCTTTTTTTAACCTAATTTTTTTAATATTTTTGTATCGTCTTTTTCTTTTTCTTTATTTTTTGTTTAGTTTGTTGCAACACTAATTTTAATGTTGGTTTCCCAATACTGGCGAATATTAGTTCACTTGTTTTTTTTATATTACGACTTTTTTTGAGTCTTTTAAATTAGAATCTTTGTCATTGTGACATGTTTTTCTCTACTCTTGTGGCATGCATTTTCTCTGCTCTTATGGCACGATCCTTATGGTTTTTGGTACGTTTTTCGCATACATTTGCTGTCGGTTTGGCACTCACACAAAAACTATTACGACATTTATTTTCTGATTGGTTTGTTAGTGATCACGTATAGTCAGATCCCCTCTTTTGGTAAAAAGTTGTATGCCGATGTAATCAGAATTGTGTAACGAAACAGCTTGCCAGATTGTTTGGTTCCTTCTCTACTCCTTTTTAACTTCGTAAAGCGGCTCATTCGATAGAGACAAGGAGTTTTTATGAAAGTTATTTGGTTTTGATGTTTGCTGTCATTCTCAATGGAAGTTTTTATTTTTCTTCTTTAAATTTAATATTTTATTTTTTGTACGAGTATTTTGGTGACTATAGTCTCCAAATTTCTCTCTATATTTTGACGCGCTGTAATTTTGATTCATTCCATTATTAATAAAATCCGGTTCTCATTGTTAAAAAAATTATTTATTTTTCTCTAAAAAAATAAAAAACATATTCAAAGATGAAATTGATTTTATATCTAAATTTTATTCGTTAAATATTATATAATGTTGTAACACTTCTAGAATCATTTATTAGCTTTGCAATATCATAAATGATTTTTAATATCTTCATCTCACTTGTAACATGAGAAAAATATGGTATCATCTTTATAATATTGTCAATAAAATATTTTCTCTCTCTCTCTTTTAATTTCAATGAAATAATTAAATAAATTCATATTAAAAATAAATATCATACGAGATATTGTATGTATAAAACTAATTTTACGATGAAAGAAAAATATAATTCCAATTCTAATATATATATATATATTATTTTGAAAAAAAAAGATTTTTAAAATGTTTAATTACCTTTTGAATCGGCCGAGGCCCAGTTATAAATTGGGGGGGGGGGGAGGATAAACGTAGGAAACGACAGCGTTCGGGAACAAATAATTGGGGTTGCATTTCTTCCTCTTTCCAGTCTCAACGGCTAGTTTCAAGTGACCGTTTTAAGTTCTCCCTAAAGATTCAAAAATCCCCATAAACAACACCAGCACCTTCCAAAAATTTTCATTCGAAAAAAATAAAAGCTCTGGAAACCAAAATCATCAATCGAAAATCCAGATTCAACCCATTTTCGAGCTCTTTCCAGCAAGCCAGAAGGTCAAAAATGGTGTACAGTTACACCCCAACATACTACTCCACTCTCCACGATTCCATCACCTCTATCTGCAAACAGATCCTCCCTTTTTCTTTCAAGAAGAAGAGGTTACCAGCTGCTGAACTCAGGCTTTCCAAGCTTCAATCTGATAATCTAAAATGGCAGCAGGAATCGTTTCACCAGATATTGAACCTCATGGGACTGCATAAAGAAGGGATTTTGGGTGAAGCTGAAGTTACTGCTTTTAGAACTCATTTGCTCGAGACCCTTATCGCTTCTCCGACAGAACTCGAACAGCCAGTTATATTGCGAGATAAATTGCTCTTCTTACAGGTATAATTTAAAAGCCACTTTGTTTTATCTTTTCAATTCTTATGATTAGATTATTGTCGTTCTTCAAATTTGATTTGGGGTTGTTGTCTAGGAACTGCTTTATGCGAAATGCATATCGGAGGAGGAGTACCATTCTTCGAAAAGGCCTTTGTTGCAGCGGTTAGCTGTACAAGGGGGTGAGATTGAGTCCAGAGATGTAATCGTCTCAAATCCGAAAGATTCGAGAGAGGATCGAGAAGAAGAGTGGTCTGTTATCGACTTGAAGGACGAGAATTGCAGTGGTAACAGTGGCGGTGTATTGCATTCCAAGAATAAATCGAAGATCAAAGGAGCAGCCTCGGTTTTCGGGTTGGGATCGTCTCAGAAGCCATGTAAAAGCAGATCAGAGAAGAGCATATTCGATGTGACTGGTTCGAAACCATCTGCCTTTATGGTGAGTTCTATGGAAAACCCTTTTTGGGATGGTCATTTGAAGGGTAAGGATAGCGAAACAAAATCAATTCTAATGCAAGAAGAAACATTCCCAATGGAACCAATGAAGGGAAATGGTAGTGGAACTGATAAGGCAAAGAGAATGCCATTTAAAACCCTCTTTCATAGGGAGCAAAGAGAGGGGCATGGTGGTGGAGGTGGTGATAATGGCTATGGTTCAGAGGAGAAACCATCAAAATCAGCAAAGAAACAATGGGGTTTAGATGGATTCAAGAAATGGAGGAGAAATGATTCGGAGGACGAGACTGCTCCTTTGCCTCTGAACGAAAGATCGGATAGTGAAGCTTTCACGGGATCATGTCATCTTGTTTCATCTCCGATCGGAGAGGGGCCGGACACAAAACAGATAAAGAGGAAGTTGCTTGCAGATGGAGCTCCATCAGATTTCTTCATTGATAAAGTCTTGGGAGACAAAATAAAGAAGGAACTATCACGGATTCAAGCAGAGCTCTCCACAACCAACCCGAATCTTAAGTTTTCGTAAGCAATTTCATTCCATCAGACCTTCACTGGTGGTAATTTGATAACTCTTATTTTGCAGATTTGCTTAATTTTGTTGTTCGCTTGATGTAATTCAACTAGGAATGATCAAATTGAAGCAATTTCCACAACTCTTCCTGTGGACAAGACTGACCTAAAAAAGTTCTTCCCCAAGTAAGGATGCTGAAAATCCGTCGTTTCCATTAGCTTACATAAGAGTTAGCCATTATCTATTTCTTTTAGTCTTTATTTGTCAATTTTCGATATTCAAGGTCATGGTGTGATAGATATGGAGAAGTTGTACTGGATGTTGTGAAGAAAGAATTCAAGGAGCATGTAGGGGAGATGGAGAATATGAGAAATGTTACCAGACAGAAGCAGAAGAACAACTCAATGCGATGGACAACTTTTGATGATGATAATGAGAACTGTCACCCGAATCTCTTTGACAGTAACACTAGTGGTGGCACCACCAAGGGCTTTAAAAATTATCCAGAATCAGATTTCTTCCAAGATCAGAAAGCCTTTTGGAACCAAAGGCATGGCCCTTTGCTGGATTAGGTGAAAAACCAACCGAGCAAGTGCCGTGTTATACCATTTATTTGCATTATCTTGTTTTACTATTTAGACATTTGCAACCATTTCTAAAGTTTTTAAGATGTACCAATGCATGAACTGTTATAGAAGAACTCTGTTCTTCTTTGTAATCTGTAGTGTTTATGTATCTAACTGCAGATCTTCATGCATTCCTGAATCCTGATTTGATAATGCCAACATCGTACGATGACCAATCGAATAGAACATAAAACCAGATACATGCTCAATTTGTGAATATAGTGCAAGGCCAGAAATATCCCATTTCCTAATTCCATATACGTCACATCTATGAGGAGATAAGATGCTACAACATGGTATAGATTTCTACAAGAATCCATCACTATATTAACGTGTACAGTTTGATCAAAGAGATGGAATCTCAGGGTTTAACGCAGACGACTCCCCACCATTGCGAACATTGCCTCTGCAAAGCGGGCACACCCTGTAAACCAGAGTAAAAGAGAGAGAAAAGTAAGTTCCCGAAAGAGGAGGAGAAAAAAGAATGTGCGGTGTAGGGGAAGCATAGGGTTAGTAGTAAGTGTACCCGTGTATCTCTTTGAGCCATTTATCCACGCACGCCATGTGAAACTCGTGCTGGCAAGGCAGGACTCTTATTTTGTCCCCTTCCTCGTATTCAGCCAAGCATATATGACACCTACGATCAGAAGCAATGAAAACATTAATAATATCCTACATATGATAAGCAAAGACACATAACTATTAAAAGTAAGGCGAAACCGAATATAACCACAACTTTTCCTATAATCTTTCAGGAGCAATTTGACATGCACCTTCAATCTACAAGTCCTAAGAAAGAACTTACTGTTCAACAGCATCCCCGCATTCGGCTGCATCCAATTTTGTGTGACTCTGAGAGGGAAAGAATCAACTACAGATTCAGGAGCTGGCGGTGATACCATAGATAGGGAAAGTGCTACTGGTTGACGATGCAAAACCTACAAATTACAATTTCGAAAAGAATATCAACATCTCATGCAGCAAGGACAGTAGACATAATGACAGAAACAATGTGGTTCGACATTAGACAGGTAGAACATTGAAGTTGCTAAAGGAAAAGTACATCAAATAGAGCCTCGGCAAGCATTACTATTCGTGATATGCTTACACGAGCACCTGGCTCATCAGTCCTCAAGTAAGAATCACAGGAGCAAGTGCCATCAGGGTGGATTCCAGAAGGACAGAATGTAGTTGGCCGACTATTTTCATCATTTCCACCACGCAGCCTTTCCCAGATCTGAAAATAGTCAAAGGAGATAATTCATGAGTACAAGTTACCCAAGGAAACTAGGCATTGCATTGGAGCGGAGATAATTCAATGCCCAAATGCTAAAGAGAATTTGATAAATGTTGTGAAATGATTAGAATGATTAAATGCCTTCACAGATGCATAAACAGATCCAAAAGATGCTTTAACAAAAAAAGGACAGGAGACTATATATCTCAATTTACCAAAAGCAAGTTTGATAAACATCTAAATTCAAAGTGCTTCACAATTAATTACCTCTAATCTCGAGCGTCGTCGTCGTCGTTCATTCAATCTATGAATTCTACTTCTGAGGTAACCATAATCACCTTGAGCTCCATCATAAAGGAAATCACCATTGAAATCAAAGAGCCATCTGTTATCAAACCCTGTATCATTATCATCATCCATCGAAAGAAAAATGGATGAGGAATTATCACTTCTTCTAAAACTACGTCTCGAAAAAGCATCCGAGAACAATCTTCTGTTGTTCCTCCTGGCTTCACGATTGCTAGTTTCAGCACTTGCACCAGATAAAATATTGGAAGAGAGACTCACAAGATCAACATGAAGAACACTTCCATCTCCCTGGCCCCTTTCCCTATTGGATACGATAAATCCTAAACCTGAAGGTATTGCCTCTAGAATGGATTCACCGCCTAATAAGTGAGAAGTCTCCGGTTCCGAGGCATGAGAAGCAGAAGCAGAAGTAGAACCAGAGTCATGGACTGTTGTTACTTCACCCAACTGATTCCCAACACATATCCTAAGTGAATGTGAGTCTTCAAGCCCTTGAGGAGATAAAATACCTGACTCGGGATGCATCTGATATCCTGCATTGTTTGCTTCAGATCTGACTGCATCCTCATTACTTGAAAGATTTACTGAGTCAAAGTTCGAAGACTGTTGTTCTAATAAGGGAATGCTAGGTGAGGTACTACCATCCCTACGAGATTCACCACGACTATAATCAGCACTTACATGAGGAGCAACTAGCTCTGTATTTTCAGTCAAGCATTTCCCACAGTTACTTGTTTCTACATCTCTAGAGTCACCTTCAACAGATGAATCCTCACTGACTGCAGTACTGCTTTCAGCTGGAAGTCCAGTTTCAGTGTCTATGCTGCTAAATCTTGTTCCCATACTGCAAATCAGAGCAGATTCCTCCAATGGACTTCGGACGATGTTGGTAACTGGGTCACAGTTTTCTGCTGACTTCACTAGGATTCCAGTTGGATAAGCTTCCCTCTACATCAAATTAATCTATTGTATTATTCCCTGTTTGATATTCTAGAGCTTCCACGTAAAATAATAGGGTTACATTCTAAATACAGAGAAAAGACAATAACTTCCAAGACATAAACTTGTTCATGAACATGTAATCCAATAGACATCTGCTGGTGCTAACAGAATTAGAACTCTAGACTCTTGTACCCTGAAGACTTCATAGAACTCTCTTGGTGACCCAGGTTAGGAGCAACGATTAAGAAATGCTCAACCACTGCCACGAAGAAGCTTCTGTGCTGCCTCCTGTCTACATCTTGGAACCGAGAGGAAAGCTAAAAAGTTAAGCTAAATCAAAATTTTAACTTAACACGAACATATTCAAAATTCGAAGTCATATAGTTTATTTTAAATAAAAAAGAAAAGGAACCAAAATCATCTGAAAAACAATCTAAGCATCTGACCAAGAAAACTTGCTAAACTAATGTCCGCCTCCAATAATTTGTCTTGCTAATTTAAGCTAGAGTGCTCTTACTTTACAAGCCTACCAACCATTCAACGTGATACAATACAAAAGAACAACACACTTCTTTTTTGGTTTTTCCCTTCAAATAAATTATACACTAAAACTGACCAAGCAAATATATCCGAATATGAAATTTCTCTTTTACTCAGAGAAAAATATACTACAGAAATTTAAGCAGACCACAAATAGCTTATGGACACATTGCACTGACTTCAAAATTTGCAAGCACGGGAAGCTTTGTTTTATTTTTCTCTTCTTAAGGGTCTACATGCGAAGGGAACGGTTGAATGTGCACATTCCATGGGACAGCAACCAGACAAGCTTATTCTTTGGGACAAGGGGGCTGCAAGAACCAGTAAATATTCTCTAATCAAAACTAAAGTCTAATACAGCATGAGAATCAAATCCTGCAAGGAACCAGGTTCTTCATATTTCCTTAAGATCATTTTCCATTATGAAGTTATCGGTGAATACATTATTGAACCTACTGCAGGAGAAAACCAGGCTCAAATATCATAAAAGAAAGGCTGGCCCTCTCAAATTTTGCATCATTCAAACTTCTATGTACAAGACCTTATTCCAGACCAGTAATACAGAAAGAAAATTTATTGTCTTTCAGAATGATCAATACAACATCAATTAAAGCACTATTTAAAATGAAGCAACCACTAAAAGTTGAAATCCTTGGACAGAACGCTAGCAAATTTCAGACAAAATAATAATAGAAATGATCAAAGGGGGGGAAAATCAATGAAGGAACCCCTGGCTTATTAATTGAGCAACCATGCAACCTCAAGCTTGAATTAAAAGCCCAGAAAGAAGAAGAAATAGTTTTCTATAATAATTACCTGAAAGAAGTTAATTTTGATTTTTTTCCCCATATAAATTAAGCCTAACCCAGAATGCAAAAATGTTTACTGGACACAGAAAATTAAGAAAAGACAAGAAATGGGGCATTGACTTCATGATTAAGAGGTCCAGAATCAATATGAATCCAATATAATTCATCAACCAAATAAGCCAATGGAAATTAAAAAAAGGACCAAACTTTTGATGACAAATTACATCAAGAGGAGCATGAGACGAAGAGCCACCACAGATGAAAAACGAGGAGATTCTGGAACGCCGTTTGGGACGGCGGTTGAGTCTCCCCCGCGATGGGTTCGACCCCAACCGGCTGCCACATAACCCCATCTCAACCCCTTCTTTCCAAGCCTCCTCCTTCAAAAGCTTTTGAGGGGGAAAAGAAGCTTTTTTTTTTATCCCTCCCTCGAAGTGAAAGTCAATAAATGAAGATAGAAGGAGAAGACTTTGGAAAATCTTTAGTTTTTGAAGGGAAAGTCTTTGGAAATTAATTACATGTGCAGGCTTACGTATGAATGGGAAAGAATAAATGGGAGAAAACGTTTGAGAGACAGAGGAGCCTTCTGTGTTTTGGACTCTTTGTTTTTACACCATGGATTTCAATTCACTATAATAGCCCTTTTTTTATTTTATTAGATTAGCTGATAATGATCTTAAATGAAAATATTTTATACTAAAATTTATATTTATACAAATTTATTAAGGGGTGATAATGATTTGTATAAGAATTTATTAGTTTAGTATTATGTTAAAACTTGAGTATATCACACGAATCAATTAATTTATTGCTAAACGATTAAGAGTATAAATAAACAGATATGACTCTTTACCGTCACTTAGCTTAATTAAAAAGTATATCAAAAGTAAATAAATTATGTTCAATGGCAAATTTAATCATTAGATTTTTAAAATTTATTATAATTAATGGTCAAAATAAAAATTTTAAAGTATTGTATGGGTCATTGTTGCATTTATAATTATATGTATATTTATTGCGTGTGATAAAAAAACAACAACAAAAAGTGGAACCAATTGGGAGAACACATGTAAAATTGACCAAACACAGGCATTCGGTGATGGGAATTCTAAATTGACAGTGACTTGTTGGTTGCCTTATCCTTTTTCAGCCACGAATATTTTTTTATATTATTTGGAATATATTTATTGATTAAAGAATAATAAATCAATTAATAATTTAACTTTATTATTAATATGAGTACCAATAATAGTCGGCTTGAACAATTTGATGTGCATATAGTAGCTAACATAGCAGGGGAGATGGGCTACCCTCCGCCACTTAGCGATGGGCATGGGTCATGGGTCATGTAGGGTTTTTGGTCTACCTGATTTGATCTGAGAACAAAGGATTCTCACCCGAGACTCGACCTGACCCAAACCGAATTTTAAAAAAATGACCCGATCGGGTTGAAACCGTCGGGTTCGAGTCCAATGCCATCCCTACCGTCGCCACCAATCCACCATGCGCACCATCCACATCCAGGACCGTCGCCTGGACCTCCTCAACCATACCTCGGGCCTTTGCCTCTGCATGTACCACACCACTCGCACCTTGGGCCGCCGCATGTACTGACGAGTCCCGAGTATCCTCACTATTACCACCAACATCACCAAGGTCAACCACCACCTTCGGTACCCGCATATGCACCATAAGCTCCAGGTCCTCCTCATCACCACGTCCTGATGGCCATCGGCCACCGGAACAAGGATGCTGCGTGATAATATGAGTTAGGCCATCTCCAGCCCTCATATCTACTTTACAACATCTCTATCTTTACTCTAAAGATGAAATAATAATTCATCTCCAGCACTATCTCTACATTTCCACCAACTCTACTTTATTCATAATATTTAACTATTATAATATTGATTTTACAAATATAAAATAAAACATATATGTTTCTAATAAATATCAAAATAACAAAAGAAAGTAAAAAAAACAAAAGCAAAAAAATAACAAAAATAACAAAAAAATAACAAAATTAACAAAAAAATATAGCGCAGTTATAGTTGCTCGCCAGATGTAGTATACAACTGTAACCACTTCAAAGTAAGATTGTAAGTGACGATAGATTGGAGTCTTTAAAGTGGAGATTGAAATCCACTCCATCATAGCGATGGAGTTGCTCTAAGAGATTTGACTTCACATGTTGCTAATACAGTTGATGTTGACGTTGATTAATTAAGCGTAGGTATGAGAAGAGACATTCAAACATACCTGCTCATATTTCCCCATGCTTCCGTGTGAAGGAAGGGGATCACGTAATTATCGGGCAATGCAGGTTAAACTCCTAAACAGAACGATCCTATACGTCTATTGTCTATGAATCTAATCATTCTCGCAGGTAGCTTGTTTGGTAATTCGCATTCATCGCTTTCTAATTTCAGGCCGTTGTCAAAGACTGTGAGGTTCAATGTTCTGAAAGTGATTCCCGCTGGATCTTCCGGTGGAGGAAAGAAAGCTTTCACCGGAATGTAAGGTGCAAGCATTTCCATGCAGTAGTCCGAGGTTGTATGAACAAATGGATAATACATCAAAATTCCCGAACTGAACCTTCGACTGCTAGATTGTTTTGTTTCGGTTTTCGTATGTTTTTATTTTTACTGCTCGGATCTTGTCAAATTACAAAAGACTGGAATTTTGGAGATACCCCATGTACTTCAACTGCAGAAGTTACTTCAATGTTTGAACTTTCAGTATTCTCTCATTCTACCCTAATTGATAGGATGTAGATGGTGTTTTGTTGATGAAGTTTATATGCCTAATTTATACCTTTCCGGTCAGTCTATTCATTCTTCCATTACTATATCACTAGAAGTAGGATTTTGCATTAGGAAAATGCAGCTTTTATCACATTACTCTTATGGTCCTTTAAAGGACGATAATTTATCTGTTTAAAGTAATTGTTCTAATTAAATAACTTGAAAGAAACATTTAACTAATTTATATACGACAATTTATTTGGTAAATTAATAGTAACATATATAGAAAGAAATCTATCCAATTAGATGGAATTGAAATTTGTGGAATCTGGATAAAATGATTATCCATATAAACCATCAAATCAACAGTGTAAGAAATTAACTGTCAATGACTATTCTCATTAATTAGAAGATGACATCAATTAATTTTTGAATTTGAGTGAAAAAATTCAAGGACTTGGCATATTTTTCTTCGAAAGTTGGGAATCCTAAGCCTATGCAAAAAGAAAAGATATTTGAAAGGAACCTAACCATACCAACCGAACAGAGTGATTTTCAGCCACGTTTTGGTACAGAGAATTTGGAATTCTCAGCTCATCAATATTATAATCCTTTATAAAACATATAATATGAAATACAGTACAAGAACAAATATATAATATCAATATATTCTCAAGAATTTCTCTCCACTCCATTATTTCCCCGCAGATTCTCTCACTTGTTTATTTGTTTTTGTTATTTTTCTTGGCTCTTCTTACTCTGCAAGCGCTCAACAACTTGCTGAGAAGCTCAAAGAAGAAAAAAGGGGGGGGGGAAGTCAGAAATTTCCATTTCTTTTCCCTGCTTTTTTCTTATCACCATCATGCTTGTTAAAGATAAAGAGCAGGTCAGCCTAGAAATGGAGGACCTTAATGACAATTATACCAACAAAAAGTCTTGGTCTTTGCTTTCTTGGGGTGATTTCTTGTGTGCACAGATGGAGAATTGGGCTCAAAATGACCCTCCTTTGGAATTTGTCAGTGGCAGCAATAGAGTTTAGTATCCCCCAAACTTCATTTCCTGTTATCATTTTTGTTTTCTGAAAAAGAAGAAAAAAGTTGCTTTTGATGACATTTTTTTTGGGAAGTTGAGAAATTTGTTGTTTGGATGGTATATGTGTTCTTGGTTTCTGGGAAGAATCTTGATTTGATGACAGTGTGTTATTTAATTCTATTCTGGGTACTTGTATTTTTGGTGCTTTTGTGCTTTAAGGTGAGAATTTTGTTTTATTGATATATCTCATAAAGAAATATATGATAGTTGATGGTTCTGATATTAATTGATATGAACAGATTGCAATTAGGCACGCAACACTCTTCCCTGTGTATGCACTTTGATCATCACTCATTAGTAACAATTTCTCTTTTGATGAATTATTGAAGCATGTCTGGAATTTAGCTTGATTTAGGGTTTTCAATCTACCCATGACTTGGAAATACATAGAGTGTGTTGTCTTTAGTCAATGGAATTGGTAAGAATGCTTTTTCACTAATGTTATATGTTTAAGGTTTCTTTATCTTCTAACCTCACCTGTGTTGTCGACCGCCACTGCAATCGTTTTCGGAAGTATATACGACTTTGCTATCTTATACAGTTGTATCCGGGAAGGATTAAGTTCATTTGTAAATTATAGTTCTCTCTTCCTTGACAATGCTTCTTCGGGTTTCTTTTATGGTAATTTTCTGATAGCCTCCTCCTCATTTGTGTTTCCTACAGCTAGAAAGTATTTCCGAGGATTCAGTTGCCATGGAAAGAAAAAATGACCTGCTGACAAATTTTATCCCCACTCTCCGGTCAGGGGAGTGGTCTGACATCGGGGGTCGTCCCTATATGGAGGATACTCATATATGCATTGCAGACTTGGCCAAGAATTTTGGTTGTGATTTAGTGAGTGAAGAAGCCATTTCCTTCTACGGTGTAAGTTCGTAAACTATCCTCTTTTTTCCCTATATATTGGCATGTTGGACTTTCCAACACCCTTGCCTCTAATACTAATGTCCTAGAATATTGAGATACATTGTTCTCCTACTACTCTTTGATCTAGGAAAGAACCGTTACGTGTTCGGTCATCTTGCAATAATTCAGACGAGTTACTTTCACGTAACCAACTTAATTGGAAAGATAAATGTGCTCTTGTCATCGCTAGATCCGTCTTGTCTTCCCCATCATTAACAAATGACCGAAACTTGAAAGTTACTGCAGCTTCTGTTCTTAACATTAACCATCTTGAAGTCGCAGTAAAGTGAACCCGGAAGTGATAAATTTCTAAATTCTAGCCTTTCTGAACGCCAATATGAGTTATGACAACACTCGGTTCATCTTCGAAGCCATCAAACATTAGTGGTATCGTCTTCTTTTTTCGGGCTAAGTTCTTTAGCTGTATGGTTTATGTAAAGCATGGATGTAAAATAATAGTGATGCATGATGAATTTGTTGCAGAAACATTAGTGGTATTTAATGCTCTTGATGAAGACCTCGTTTACTTATTTTCCATTTAAAATGACTTTTAACTGAGTAGCTACCTAATAGATTAGAAACTCAGTTTTGCAGCCAAAACTAATGCTCTGGAATAACATTGAACAAAACATAAGAGACAGATTAGCTCCTAGGAATTACATAAGCATTCTGTTTATTGACATAAAAGGATCAGGTTTTTGACGGGCACGGAGGAAAGGATGCTTCTCATTTCGTCCGTGATCATTTGCCCAGAGTTATTGTTGAGGATGTTGATTTTCCCCTAGAACTAGAGAAAGCGGTCACCAGGTCATTCATGGAGACTGATGCTGCATTTGTAAAGTCGTGCTCTCTCGAGTCCTCATTGGCGTCTGGCACTACTGTTCTCACTGCAATGATATATGGGAGGTAAGCGCTTCCAAAGTTTTTCTGGGCAAGTGCACGAAGTGAAACGACTATTTAGCGTTTATGTCTGAATGAACTTTTATGGTTTTTTGCTTTGCCTGAAAGGGATATCTTATATCTCACAGGTCTTTAATTGTGGCGAATGCTGGGGATTCTAGGGCGGTACTGTCATGGCGTGGAACAGCTATAGAGATGTCGAAGGATCATAGACCCTGTTGCGTGAAAGAGAGGAGACGAATCGAGTCTTTGGGTGGGTTCATTGACGATGGTTATCTGAACGGCTTACTAGGGGTCACTCGTGCATTAGGTGATTGGCACCTTGAAGGCATGAAGGAAACAGGCGAGAGAATCGGCCCGCTAAGTGCTGAACCAGAACTCAAACTAATAACACTGACCAAGGAAGACGAGTTTTTGATCATCGGTAGCGATGGAATATGGGATGTTTTTACCAGCCAAAATGCCATAGATTTTACGAGGCGGAGACTCCAGGAGCACAACGATGTCAAGTTATGCTGCAAAGAAATAGTTGAAGAAGCAATAAAAAGAGGAGCAACAGACAATCTGACTGTCGTCGTGGTGAGTTTTCACTTGGAGCCACCTCGGCCTTGCATCAGACAAAGGGGAAGAGTCAGGAGGAGTATATCTGCTGAGGGGCTTCAGAGTCTCAAACGCCTCTTAGAAGGATAAAACTCTGTTACATTTTTTACACACAATGCATCGTACACATTGGAGAGAACTAGCTACTGGCTAATACTTGGCTGTTCTGGTAGGATCTTCCTGTGTACACACTATCACCAATTGAACAAAAGAAAACTCGAAAGAATCGAATTAAGAAGACTCTAGATTCTATTTCCTGATCACTCTTATCAGCTTCTAATGAAGCTTAGGATTATTTGAGGAACACAATTGATTGTAAACGGAAATAAATCTCTGTTATTGAACAATTTTTTAGCACAAACTTTGATCTGCTACAGGTCAAACGAGTAATGAAGTTTATTCTGATACAAAGATTCTTGTACATGTGAACTGAAGATGTTTTGTGTGTATAAAAGAATGAAATACGATAGAGATTGTGGTACAAGGAAAAGAAAACTTTTAACAGCATAAGCTGTATCCTAATGAGATGCTTCTCTAAACAGTCCGAGCCTCCGAGGCCTCGAGAAACCGCATCAACTTGCAGTCACTACTCTGAAGCCATTTACCATCCTTCTAATCTCAGTTTTCGCAACACGAATCAAGAATAAACTGGCCAAGAATATAGCAAAAATTAGCATGAAAAATACACTATTCCAACCCCTAGTAGATATATATCCGGCCAAAAGTGGTCCAAGAGCAGCCCCGATAGAGCCGGTGCCATCTATGATTGCGGACACAGTAGCTAATGCACGGGAGTTTCCTTTAATCAATTCCTGGGTACCAAGATCTGCAGCAACAGCTGTTGTAATTAGTGAGTAAGGGCCATTCACTAGCAAGCCAGACAGAAACATCAATGAAAGGTTGGTAACCATAGAGACACTTCCATAAACCCGGTACAAAATCAGTGACGGAATCGATAGTAATAAGAAAATAACTGAAGTAACTGCACGAGCATCAATGATATCCGAAACAAAACCTGCTAGCACCCCACCAAATACTCCTCCGATATCGAATATTGTAGAGAGAATCCCAGCAGTTTTATGGGACAAATGCACTCCAGCAACAGCTAGGAATCAAACACAAATTTGCAATTAGAAATAAACATCCACTGGTTTAGCTAATCAAATATCAAGAACAGATTCAAACATGAAGAATGTGCTCAAGCTGCAAACAAATAACTTTGAAGATAACCATCTGTGATAGGCTAATAATGTCGCCATACTAGGACTGGTTTTACTAGTATACGAAAAATACCGATGGTTTATTGCCATGGTCATATAATTGAGAATGCATCTCTACTGAATTTTCCTACTGGATAATCCTAAAAAAGCTCAAGTTTACTCTTGAAATAATAATGGCATCAAGTGATAACAAGTACCTGTATGTCTTATGTAGAAGGGCAACCAATACAAAAACGTATAAGCCACTAACTTGGAGAAGAAGAGGCAGAAAGCAAATGGTGCCACACCAGGCAACTTCCATGCCTCCAAGAATCCGATAGCAGCCGAAGAATCCGAATCATCGGAATCCTTGTTCTCGAGCAGCACTGCTTCCTCAGACTCCACTTTTTCTAGATTCCCCGAGCTTTCTCCTTCCACATTCATCTCAATCTCCTTCTCACTCGACATAATCTCGAACCCCAAATCATCGGGACTAACCACTAAGAAACAAAATACCAAAACTCCAACTACAATAACCAGTAACCCAGGCACCAAAAAAGACCAACCCCAACCAAATTCCAATACACCAGAAGCCACAACAGACCCAATAATGTTCCCAACAGATGTATGTGAAGTCCAAACCCCCATAATCAATCCTCTCTTCTCTTTCCCAAACCAATTCCCAACAACAGCAACCACACAAGGCCACCCTATGGATTGAAAAACCCCACAAAAGACTTGAACTCCAATGAAATAACCCAACAAATGGACATCAAACCAATATCCGAACCCGAAGATTATGGTCAAAAGGCCACTACCCATCATTCCAAACACAAGGAATAGCCTCAAATCGATCCTATCGCCTACATGTCCTGCGAAATACATCCCTATGGCATATGATGCTAAAAATGCAAGATCAAGCTCACCGAGCCGATGGGTTCCTTCCGGACCATTGAACGGTGCCCATCCGGTGTCAGTTGAGGTAGAATTTGATTGAACCGTTGGTTCCAAGACGCTTTTCACAATGCTGGGGGGTTTCCGAGAAGCGTGGAACGAGGCGTAGGCTAAGAAGGTGAGAATCAAGACGAAGATTTGATGGAAGAAGAGGGTTTTGTGTGGGGGCTTTAGGTTTGGGAAAAGGGTGAATCCAGGGGCTAGGCTTGGAGTTTTGGATTGCATTGCAAAAGGATATCGTGATCTTCGAGATACAAAACTCTTTGAAAAATGGAATCTTTCACGTGAATTGAAACAAAGATGAATATGTGATCTGGGTATGAACCATGGGAAGGATTAGATGGTAGAAGTTAACAAAAATGCAAGAATATATATTTTTTTTTAAAAAAAGAGGGGTTTTGATTAGAGATGAAGAAAACTGGAGAGGTTGTTCACGTCAAAGGTCAAAACTTTCAGTCTCTCCCATTGTAATTGAACTCTTAGTTGACTTTTCAACATCACTCCACTCTTAACTACACAAAGATCACTTAGATAATATTATTTTCGTTTTTATTTAATTAAAACATATTCACCTAGGGAAAGAGCAAGAAAATTATAGGAAAAACAAGTTGAACCACATCTGAATGAATAATGGAGTATGACAAGTACAGGTATTATGAAACAGACCTGCTACTTTAATGCAATTTGGAGGTACAAAAATACAGGGAATCTCAAGTGAAGGTAGATTCCAGTTCAACGCCATCCCTTTGTTGCAGCAAACAAACCATACACATAGCTAGAAGACGCATTGGTTCTTGAATTGCAGGGTCCGTACAGAAATGGCCACACCACAGCATAGGTGTAGCCCTGACCATTAGAATAAATGATAACATGGTAGGTGTAGCCCAAAATCCTCAATAAGTGAAACATGGTGGGTCACTTAACAGTAAAAAGAGCACACACAATGTTCAATCATCAATATCTACTTCAATTCTGCACATTCATCCAAGCAATACATGTCTTGAGAGATATTGAATCATTAGTTAGTTATGCTATCAAAGAAACCAAAATCTACAAAACTTCGATTCTATAGTATGTAAGATCACAAAACCTAAAAGAATTAGTGTTATGTGCAAACCAAGATCATTTCATAATCCTAAAAAATCTTCAGTAATTCCTTGAAGACTGTCCCCAATTCCCAGCAAAACTTTTGCTTCTTTTTTGTCCCCCTACTCTTAGTTGTGAATTGGAGGTTTTCTCCTGGCAGGAGAGTAGTCCATTTCCACAATGTCGGCATATCGGTCATGGAGTTCCTCTTGCTTCCCATCACTTCCTTCCTTGGAAGCTGGTTTGAGTCTTGAAGTAGGTTTATTGTAAGCTTTGTTTTCTCCATTGATCTCTTCTCTCTGTATACACGAATTAGTTCATGTAAGGGAAGATCTAAACCCTGGCTATGGAAATAAAATATAGATATTAAATGTTTACTATAAACCAACCTTTGAAGTGGTGGTAGATGGAGGAGTAGTTGCAGTAAAAAGTTTCCTACGTACCTTTCCTGCAAAAATGAATGCCAAAAGATATCTGCTTTAGATAGAGATATGTATCTATTGGATTCGGTGCAATACAAGAAGAATGAAACATGCATTTGAATGTCGGATTTTAATGATTATGTAATGGAAATTGCAGAAACAGGAGGCGTTGTTGTTACTTGTTAGTAAGAAACAAGTGTCGGCTTACCTTGATTAGTACTGGGAAAGAAAATGATCAACACCAGAAGAGAGAATGCCAAATACAGGGAAGGCTTCATTTGCAGAAAATGAGGTTACACTTTGTCAAGTGCTTAGAAATTGTCAACTGATATATATCTAATAGTAGGGTGTAAATCAACCGGACATCAACAAATAAGATTGTGATTGTATATTTACTTTTGAAGTTGTTTTTGTTCGGTTCGTATACTTTAAAATTTTTAATTTTATGTTCATGTTCGTTTGTTTATTTTTTGTGTTCGGGTTCGATTCGTTTAGCATTCACAAACACATTTGTTTAACGTTAACGAACATGTTCATTTATATATTCGCCGATATGTTTGTTTTGCATTCACGTACATATTTGTTTAGAGTTCACAAACCATACTTATTTATGTGTTTCGAGTCCATCGACAACCAACACTCTCTTTTTACTTTTTTTATTATTTAAAATCCAAAAATATGATGAAATTATGCCACTTTCCTTAAACTCTTTCACAGTTTGAACTCCGATGTTTATCATATGTTCAATTTAATCTCTACCTCTATCAATATTTAAAATGTAAAAAATAAAAATAAAAGGAGAATTAGATAAACTGTTGATAAATTATCTAATAAATAAATTTATTCCGTGAATATAAACAAACTAGAGCGTACTCTGTGTTCGTTCATTTTAAATAAACATAAAAAAAATTCTTTGTTTTCAGCATTTGGCGAAAGGTATAATAATATATTTTACGATCACGAAGGTTTTTAATACTGTCTGCTAGGACCCGACCATTACCTATACATATACTTTGGCTTAAATTTTTTTAGGGTTGAATTTGACGATGTCTCTATTGATAAAGATAGTACTAATTTATTATCTTGATAATATTCTCTGTTTTGGAACCTTGTATTAGATTGAGATACGTGATTGTGGTTGTGTTCGTGGATAGTTTCTTACATCGCTTGACTCTGATATGTGGTTTGTCGGTGGTCTGTTAGTAATTTTATCTCCTTCTGTGGTTTGTTTATCAATACAGTCAAATCTATTCGTATATATCTTGGTTCGAGAATTTTTTATTGCATTTTTAACCTTTTGTTATATGATCCTTTTATAATCTCAAATAATTAATTTATTTTGTTAATAATTATAAAAATATCTTAATTATATTTAATTTACATTTATGATTATAAATATTCATCGTAATTTCAAATATTTTTTTAATAAAACTATTTCTCCATTCACCCAAAAAAAATTAGGTTCAGCTTTCAGTTGGTCTGTTTATATTTTATAATAATTAATTTTAGTCGTGAATATATAGATGATTATAATAATATGGATATATCGTTTGGTGGTTGTGGGCCATGCATGGAACCTGGGCTTTAATTAAAGGCATTCGATTTACAATTGAGGAAGGATGGCATGATGTGTGTACTGTGTAGGGTAGGTTACCGTTTAAGAGGTCATTCGAGTTAAATTTATTAAGCGATTTTAGTAATGGAGAAAAGAGTGTTAATTTTATTAGAGATTTTAAATTCGAGTATTGTGTTATGGAAGGTGTATGTTCATTGTCAATTAATTAAGATTTTTTTTTACATAAATACGATGAATGCAAAGTAGTATATATTCAAAGACTTTCGACTATTTGACAATTAAGACTTATACTCCTACATAGAGGTGTACAAAAAATCCGAATATATGATTTTGCGTAAAAAATATCCGAAACCGGATTTGGGAAAAACCGATTTTTTTAAACCGGATCGGATATTTTAAAACCGGATAGTATAACCGGTTTGGGAAAAAATTAGATGACCGGATTTTTTACCGATTTGAAAAAAGCGGTTTTTTATCCCAAAAAAAAATCCGGTCTGGGGTTTAAAAAATTAGATGACCGGATTAAAAACCGGATTTTTTAAATACAGTGAATGTAAAGTAGTATATATTCAAAGACTTTCGACTATTTGACAATTAAGGCTCATACTCCTACATATACAGTGCTCGAACTCAGGATCTCAAAGATTAACAACAATCCCTTAACCACTGAAATCACTTGGTTCAGCTTAACTAAAACAATTATACAGATACTACTCACCTAGATTAATAAAAAAGTTCATTTGGTCCAGTGCTGACGTTTTGATATCTAAAATGTAGACATAAAATGCAGATGAAAAGATGAGAAGTATGTCATATATCGAAAATCTGTCTTAAAGAAACTGTGTAATCGCAGACCTCAACCAGTTTCAAGTTCGATATTTTGTAATTATTCGAATTCTTTATTCTAAATTATTTCTTCTACTTTATTAATAAAAATTCGATCTTTTACTTTTATTTTATTTTCGTATCGGATTGTATAACAATGGCTTCTTCCATCATATTTTCTTCATCCCAAATCATCTGCCTTCAAGTACTTCTCTCTCAAGTTAATGATCTGTCGAAACTCTTCAACAGTGTGGAGGTTCAAAAGGTTAGTTTTTTTGGGCAAATTATACCATTGTCCATTTAACTATTTAGCCTTTTTACTTTTATTATCTTTTGATTTTGTCAATCATAATACCTAATTATTTAATAGTATCCAATCAAGTCGGAGATGCAGCGTGGCAGTTAATAAAATTGACATAATTATTCATTTAATTTTCAATACTTATACATTTTATCAATTTAGTCCTAATTTGAATTTAATTTAATTAATATCGTTTGAATGTTTTTATTTCTTTGTTTCTCTATCATTCATAAAGTTAAGAAATAAATAAATGTTTATGTAAAGATTATGGCAAATGGGGTCTTAATATCAAACCCCCGCAAATGCATTTTAATTCTAGCCTATTTTCTTTCTAAGCAGAGATGACACGAGTCACCATTTGATTGGATAAAAATTTATTTAATTAAACAAAATAAAATCAATGAAAAATATCAAATCAGGTGATGAACACGCGTCATGACCATTTGTTTACATATATCACATCCTGATTGATTGCTTAATTTATTAAATTAAATTCAAATTGGACTAAATTGATATAACATATAAGTATTGAAGACTAAATATATAATTAAGCTAATTTTATTAATCCATCACGTCCGTATCTCCTTCAAATATTAACGGCTAGTGGATTGACTGAATATTATAATTAAATAGTTAGACGGTCAGATTAATAAAATTGAAAGATCGATGGTGAAAATAAAATGATAAAATAGTTAAATGGTCAATTGCATAGTTTACCCTGTTCTTTGTTCTGACAGGCAACAAAGTGGTAACGAGTCACTCAACAAGGTTGAGGACATGGGACATGGAACACACCCTTCGCCTCTCCTTTGGATCCCCTTCACGTGAGGTTCTACCTTTTCATGGTAATGTTATACATTTATATAATTGGGATATTTTAATAATTCATTGTATAACATATTTTTGCATTGTATTTTTATTATATAATATTTAAAATTATCAAATATTAAAATGCACTCATGGTAACTACACTTTATATTACTCTTACCCCATCTCGCATGTATACAATATTTGGTGGACCCCGTCCTCTTCGCTCTCCTCGAATTCTGACTCTGCTAACCGTCCGCCGCCGCTTCTATAAAGATACCCTAATAAGTGGTGAACCCTTTGTTCCCATGGACGAGTAAATATTCGATTATGAAGATATTGAAGTCCTCGACAGTGATGTTACAAGAGGGGTGATTAACGGATTGATTTCTATCGACTTTTCTGATTGGGTGCAAGACCTTGCCAATAGAAATTTCAGCCAGACCGTTGTTGTCAAACTTCTTGGAAGGAAAATTGGCTACACAGCCCTTCGTAACCGCCTGTATGATCTCTGGAAACCTTCTCAACCATTCAAGCTTATGGATATTGAGAACGACTCTTATCTTGTCTCCCTCCGCACTCGGTCGGACTATCTCAAAGCCCTCTCGGAAGGACCCTGGACCATCTATGGGAATTATCTTACAGTGGAACCATGGTCGCCGGAATTCTCAACGACGCAGCCTTATCCTAGCAAGATCGTTGCCTGGATCAGACTCCCATGATTTCCCGTCACCCTCTACAAGAGGAACGTCATCACTGATATTGGTAAGTGCATTGGTCCTGTTCTCAAAATTGATTATCACACACAAAACGGCCGCCGAGGGCGATTTGCCCGAATGGCCATCACGATCGATCTCAACAAGCCCCTGGTGTCGAAGTTGATTGTTGATGGATCTGTACAAACTGTGGAATATGAGTCTCTTATGTTTCAACTGCTGTCGTTATGGACACGTGAAAGATATTTGTCCAACTTTCGCCCCCACAGTACCTGATAATTCTTCTCCATGCAACCGTGCGGACACCCCGAATATCCAAGAAAACAACTCGAATCCCTTGTTTGGACCATGGATGTTGGTAGAACACCCAAAGTCCTGGGTCCCGATTTGCTCCCATATCCGAAGCCTCTGTGACCGTTGACCCGCCTCCACCTGCTCAAGCCGTGGCCCCCATGGCTGCTGTTGTACTTGAAACCAATGTGAATGTGACAATTCCTGCTGCTCCTTCCAAAGGTGTCAAAGACTCACGAGCAACTAAAGGGAAATCTCCCCTAGGCATCCGTAAGCCCTTATCTGCGCACACCTCCATCAGCCGACCCAATCGGCCTAGAATCTCCACATGGGTCAGACCAGCAACTTTAAGTATACTTCCGCATCTGCACATGGAAAAGTGATCTTGGATAAAACAAAGCATTCAGCTCTGTCGATCACGAAAAATCTCGACCCGAACTGCATGCCAATGCAGGCGCAAGGAGGAAACACCATTAATCTTAAACGTGTTTGTCCGACCCTCCCTGTTGTTATTGGTGGCCACCCGTTTGAGCCAGGCCCCCTGACTGAATTGATGCAGGACCAGATCCTGGTAACATAGAAGACTCACAAACGGCCACGACCGATGACCAAGCTGATGGCCACGTCGAAGCTATGCACGTGTAACTTCTCTCCTTTCATTATTGTTGCGTTTGTTGAGTTGCGTGTAAGTAGTAGTAAGACTGACTATCATTTATTCTATCGACTTTCCGAACTCCCATCGTATTGAAGTCGTTGGGTTCTCAGGTGGATTATGGCTCTGTTGGTACGACTCAGTATCTGTAGAAGTTTATACCAACCATCTTTGATTCATTCACACCCGTGTCACACTGTTACTAATGAATATTTTCTGGCCACTTTTGTTTACGCTAGTCCTAATGCTTTGAAGTGTAAATGTCTATGGGCCTGGCTCCGTCACCTTGCTTCTTCTATTAATGTTCCCTGAATTATCTTGGGGGATTTCAATGCAACTCTCAACCACTCTGACAGGTGTGGCAATGCTAGCTCTTCTCGTCCGAGTCTTGACTTTCAGAATCTTCTTTTTAACTTTGGCTTAAGAGACATGGGATTTCAGGGGCCCCGGTATACTTGGTCCCTTGGTCTTGTCTCGGCTCGCTTAGACAGGGTAATCTGTAATAACAAATGGGACGAGCAATTCCCCTATGCTGCTATTCTCCATCTTCTTCGGATGCGGTCTGATCATCGGCCTTTACTCCTCTCTGTGGGCGCCACGCCTACTCGCTCTGGTCTTAATCATTTTTGGTACTTCACCGGTTGACTCACCCGTGAAGACTTCCCTAGAATGGTCTTGGCTAATTGGAATTCTTCAACTCCCATCGCCGATGCCATTGATAATTTTGCAAAAGAAGATGACTCTTGGAACAAAACCGCCTTTGGTTACATTGGACACAACAAAAAGATCGTTATGGCGCGTCTCCAGGGAGTGCAAAAAGCCTTAGAATGACGCCAGTCTAGTTATTTGCTCCATTTAGAAACTGACCTCATGGCCGATCTTGAACACCCCTCCTTGATCTTGAAGAAAGCCTTTAGAATGCTCTCGAGTCTAATGGATTTCCCAAGGAGATCGTAATACTAAATATTTTCATCGAAAGACGATGCAACGCAATCGCCGTAACAAAATCTTGGCTCTTAAACTCTCATCTGGGGAATGGTGTCATGATAAGGATGACCTCAAAGAGGAAGCAGTCGCTTTCTACAAAAATTTGTTTGCTAAAGATTATGAGATTCAAGGGCATTACTCCTCTCGGGTTTGCTTTCCCATGGTTCCACATTCACTACCAAATCAGCTTATACCCACATTCTTGAAGGGATTTGGAACAACACCAACGCTCTTTGGAAATTTGTCTAGTCTCTTTCTGCCCCCCAGCTCATTCGCCTATTTATTTGGCTCCTATTCAAACAGCGAGCAGGCTAGACGGAATCTCACTCTTGATGCCTTTTGTTATGCCTGTCGCGCCGCTGATGAAACTGCTCTACATCTTCTTCGTGATTGTTCCGAGGTGAATTCATTTTAGGAGAGTACTCTTCATTCCACAAGTTCGACAGACTTCTTTTCATCTGATATTGGTTCTTGGCTCGTTTCTAACTTGAAAGATTCTTCCATCTGACCGTGTTTCACATCCCTTGGAACCTCCTCTTCATGTCAATCCTCTGGCACGTTTGGAAGCGAAGAAATGAAGAAGTCTTTGCAGGTGAAACGCACGACCTAAGGGAACTTTTCAACGAGCATACAGCTGGTAGTACCGGCTGCAGCTGAAACTTGCTTCTATGAATCTCCTCCAAGCACTCTTCCACTTTCTAAGAGAAATATCTGAATTCTGAGGAACAGAGAAACTGTGAAAACTGCAATATTAAAAATAAAATGTTGTGTTTCAGACCAAATCCTCAGACATTGTTTCTTCTTTCTTTTTTCTCTCTGTTTCTTTTCAGACCTGAAGTTGTTTCTCAAGCCTCACATGTCCAAACTTCACACATCCCAGGTACCATTCTCATTTTCATGTTCTTTCAAGGAAAGCTTTGGTTTTTATTTATGGGATTTTTTGTTTTTAACTTTTCCTTTTTAATTTTTTTTGATAGGGTACCTTAAAAGGTTTGTCTTTGGGAAGAGAGAGCACTGTGAGGTGCTGGCATGGAGGAAGATAGAAAGGAGGAACCTTGGGGAGGGAGATGAAGGAGACGACAACAACAACAACTCGTCTTTGATTTTGGCTGAGAGGAGGACTCATAGGAAAGACCCTCTTAATGATTTTAAGTACACTGGCGGCTAGGACATCAGCAATCAACACTATTTGGCTGTCTGTTTCTTCTTCTTCTTCATCTTCACCTTTTGAGATCCATTGATTTTCACATCGATTTCTTTGCTTAAATTGCAGTCTGTGGGATTTACAGCGGCTCCTTTCTTTGCCGTTGCTGCAGCCTGGTTCATCTTATTCGCGTTATGCTTATTCGTCCTATGTATCCGCCATTGCTGTTGTCGACTAGATTCTTATGGCTACTCTCGGACAGCTTATGCACTCTCTTATCTTCCTTTTATTCTTCACCATTGCTGCAATGCAACTCTCTTTACGCGTGTTTAAAGAACCGTAATATTACTCGCTTAAATGTTGGCCACGTATCACAGTGTCGGGAGTGTTGTTCTGACATCGGCCAGGGAGAATTCCATGCCCGCACGACCAACACACTGAATTATGTCGTTCATAAGGCAGATGTTACTGCCGAAAACCTCAGGAACGCGTCGGATTATCTTTCTGCAGCTAAAAAGATTAGTGTAGATTCAACGATTCTATCTCCTGATATGCAAAAAAGCATCGCTGATGTCGAGAACAAGATCAGCTCTTCTGCTTCGACTCTTTCGACTAAAGCAGCCGATAACAAAGACAGGATTCAACATGGATTAGACGGCACGTAAGTTGAAGCTTGTAGGGTCTTGAAAGTAATGTCGATCGATCATCGAACTGATTTTCGAGCAAAATGTTGCAGGAGATTGGAGCTTTATCATCGTTGCTGCTGTGATGCTCTTTTTGGCATTCCTTGGATTCTGTTAGTTCAATGTTGCTTTGGTTATTCGTCCTATGTTTCTAGTATTTTGTGTTTTGTTTATGCTGTTATTCCGATGAATTGTTGCAGTGCTCTTGGTTCTCGGATTGCAGTGTCTGGTCTACACGTAAGTGAATTACCGACTACCGACACCGGTATCGTTTTCTCCGTTGTATGCTTCGGAGTATGCGTTACTTAACCAATGCAGCCAGGTGATCTTTGGATGGATTCTTGTTGCTGGCACATTTATCCTATGCGGTGTATTTAATCTCCTCCACAAGTACGCTGTACTCGAATCCGACGATGTATTCGACGGTGTATTCTACTGACTAGAATCGTCTCTTTTGCTTCACAGTGTCACCGGAGATGCATGTGTTGCTATGGATGAATGGGTTCAGCATCCAACGGCACATACGGCGCTCAACGACATTCTGCCTTGCGTGGACAATGCAACAGCTCAAGAGACCTTATTGCAAACCAAGAATGTCAGTCACCAACTTGTAAATGTAGTGAATGGCATCATCAATGATGCTGCCAACCGTGATTTGCCTCCAGAATTGGCACCATTATATTACAATCAGTCCGGTCCGATGGTGCCGATCCTCTTCAATCCGTTTCATTCCGATCTCACGGAGCGTATGTGTACAACCGGTGAAGTTAGCTTGTTCAATTCCTCGGAGGTAACCGAAGACAGGGACGATGACTTTTCTGTACGTAAATTGAGTGACTCATGACTCTGCCTGTATCCATTTTGAACAGGTTTGGAAGAAATATATCTGTAACGTCTCTGCATCCATTTTGTCAGTGTGATTAGGGTCAGTCCAATTACGGGATTTTGAGTATGATAAATTCCACTACGTGTCAACTTTTATGTGGGGTTTACGAGATAAGGGGTGTGACCCATTCAACTGCAATGCATTATCTTTTCGTAAAAATGAAACGGATAGAAGTAACCCTTCAACGATTGCTCCATTGGATGAGATATTTTATCTTATTTTATAGTGAGACTTAATTATAAAATAAGGGTCTAAACTATAGTATTTTTCATGATTTTTGAACGATCTTGGCATATAAAGTTTGAAATGGTACTACTTTATGTATTCGGATCGTCAACGGCGGTAATTTCCTTCGTTAAGTGACCCGGGTCATAATTTAATAATTTTGAAACTTTTATTTAAAAAAAAAATTATATTTTTTATAAAAAACAAAATTTTGAAATAACCTCAAAACTTTGAAAACATTCATTTCAACCCCCAAACCCACGCTAACCGCCACCCTTTGTCGTCGACGAAGCTCCACCATACTTCACCTCCCCCGGTGACCAAACCCCCTACGAAATTGTGACAGATCGACGACGAATCTACGTTTTATACCCCGTGAACCCTAGGATGAAAATCGTGATCACACGCAATAATAACGGTCAATCGACAGCAACTACGGCGGCGTATGACTAAGATGATGACAAGTATTACATCGATGGCAGTGGTCATGGCCAGAAAGAACTACTAAGGTAGGTTAGAGTTAGGATTTTGGGGTTTTTTTTATGTAATTTAAGAGAAATTATGGTTTGACGGAAGTCGCCCATGATTGATTGTCTCCCTATTTGACCACAAGATCATAGTTTATTCATGTGCGAGTAGGTTTTTCTACCAAGTGATGAAAGCACCAAGGGGAAACAGGATTCACTTTAGGGAAATTAAACAATAAAATTAAAAAAATAAAACAATGATGTGACAAAAAGATAATAAAAGGGTTGTCTTTATCAAAAACAAATATACATACAGTTGTTATATAAAAGCCATCATAATCATCAACACCATCGAACTTAATTAACTAATACATAGAGTTAATATTATTTACAACTTGAAGTTTGAATTAATTGATCTTACATGTCTTTATATGTTATCCTAATAAGTTAAATTTAGTGGACAATAAATTATATTATTTGTAGAGGGGAAGGAAATTAAATTACTTGAGGGTGAAGGTGAGTTTGAAATGGTTAACCCACCTGAATTTTAGTTGGCTTTTGGAGAGCGTTGAAAGATATTAGAATTTAGAATGTTAATTGAGTAGTGTCTTGGAGAAGAATGCCCTTTTCATATTTTTTTTATCTCCAAGTTTCAGGGTTTCGTCACGATTAATCTAGATGGATTCACGTCGCATACAGTGGCAACGTCACGTATAGTTAAGTTCCTTATTTTATTGATGGTGTCAACTCTGAAATTTTAATTGTGCCTACCTCTTCAAAAATTTTGTAACTGGTGTATGTGTGTCCACCCTAAAAAATATATCTTGATCCGCCTTTGGTCGCACATCTAATTTTAGTGAGTGAATCTTCTAGCGAGGATTTTCTGCATACGCAAATGACCTTTCATATTTCTTTCGATATAATTGTGATTACCTTATTGAGTGGCTTCAACTATCGATAGCTAAAAAGAATATTATTTTCTCTTGAGGTTTTGTGTTTGAATAGATGTGTTTGTAGAGTGTGTACGTTGTCAATAGTTAAAAAAGATCGTAAACATATATTACATTATCATCACTGAAGACTATTAGAAAAAATATATCGTATAATCAAAATCAAACTTAATAAATGTAATATACAAATAAATTTATAATTAGTAGTATATAAATAAATTAATAATCAGAATATAATTAAACATAAATTACAATAGATAAGGAATTGCCCTTGTTTATTATATGCATAAATCGTATAATCAAAATCAAACTTAATAAATGTAATATACAAATAAATTTATAATTAGTAATATATAAATAAATTAATAATCAGAATATAATTAAACATAAATTACAATAGATAAGGAATTGCCCTTGTTTATTATATGCATAAATGTCAAAAATAGCCTTTAATATTTATCATAATGATTGTTTTGCCCCCTATTCATTTTTTGGAATATTTTGGTCCAACATTTCACTTTGGGGGCAGAAAGCTCACTAAATAGATGAAAATCATTAGTTATCACATGATTAACAATCTAATATAAGAGCTTTTTAATCTAAAACGAAAACTTTGAGGGCTAAAATACCCTAAAAGAAAGAATAAATGACCAAGTGATTATTTTACAAATTATTAGGGGCTTTTTTAATCTGAAATGTTATGGGCTAAAATGTCCCAAAAAACTAATATAAGAAAAAATATAACCATTTTGATAAACGTTATAGGTTACTTTTAACGTCATGCCTTAATTATATTACAACAAATTTTGAGCAAAGTTGGGAGGTTGGTCTTATTCTAATAAGAATGTTGGCGAATTCGGTGGCTGATGTGTTTACATGTATGGCTTGAGGATGTCTTGTTGGAGAAGAATTTTTTTATTTTTCCCTCCAGTTCTAAAGATTCGGTTTAATTAATCTGGACCGACCCGGATCGTACACCTAACATGATGAGTTAGTATTTCAATGAAAATTTTCTGCACAATGATTTGAACATGAGACTTACTATAAGTGTCTGCTATAGTCTTCCTGGAGGCTGCTGGAACTGAATGTTTTACTTCACTGTTATGTTTTAGTACAACTAAATAAACCTGAAACACATTAATTATGTTAGTAATAAGTTTTTGGTGCAATAGTAAAATGTAGGGTAAACTACAAATTTAGTACTTAAACAATAAGTTTTGGCTCGTTTTAGTATCTAAACTTTTAATTTTTTAAAATCATACCTAACATTTAGTTTTTATTTCATTTTAATATCTTGTCATTAAAAACTTAATGCGCTTAGCACCTAAACTATCAGTTTTGGCCCGTTTTAGTACCTAAACTTTCTTATTCTTATTTTCAAAACTTAACGTTAAAATGAATCAAAAATTAAAGTTTTTAATGGCGGGGAACTAAAATAAGATAAAAAACTAAACTTTGTGTATTTTGAAAAAAATAAAAATTTAGGTAATAAAACAAATCAAAACTGATAGTTTAAGTACTAAATATTTATTTTACCCTAAATATTAAAAATATAATATTTATTTAACAATACAACTTCTAGTGAAATAGTAAAAATAATATATTAAAAAGTAATTTTAAATTTTAAATATAAATATATAAACTAGATACAAAAGATACTTGTAAATATGGATAGACCGAGAGGAGGGCGGTAATCCCTTAAAATTGTTAAATTTTTATACATTTTAGATACAATTTATATATTTTTTATTAATTTTTTACTATCTTAAAATTTTTTAAATTTATTTCTCACTTAAAATTTTATAAATTTATTTCTCACTTAAAATTTTATAAATTTATTTCTCATTTAAAATTTTATAACTTCATTCTTTCCGATATAAAATCTTCCCTCCCTCTGACTCAATAGGGAAAGGTCCTATAACATCACTAATAAACCCATTCACATTCGGGTGTCTTTTTATAGGTCATTTGACGGTATAAATATGTAAAAATGAGTGTGGCTTGGGAAGCAAGATTAGTAATCAAAACATGACGAGTCATTGTAAGAGGGAGACAAGTTTTACTGTAACATACAGAGAACCTGAGCCTAATAATTGTCCCTCTTGACGTTAAGAAATGGATGCTGCACCTAATTTCTTGGACATAAATCTGCCTTTCCACCGTCCCTTCTACTTCATACCACTCCGACTAGGCCCCTCTTTTTCCCCGCTTTGTAAAGGATAATTCTATTGTAAGATAGTTTTAGTATACCGTTAATAAATTTTTTTATCGGAAATATTGATAATTTTTTAATATTTTTAGTAAAGTATTATATAAAATATTATTTTTAACAGAAATATTAATTTTGTTATCTAATTTTCAGTAGAAAAATAACATTTTAAGTAGTGCTCAATATTAATATTTTTGGTAAAAAATAATATTTTATATAGCACTTTACCGAAAAAGTTAAGCATTTTAGGTAGCGTCTAATATTAATATTTTCGACAAAAAAATAATATTTTAGATAACATTTTATCATAAATATTAAAAAATATCAACATTTTCGATAGGATATCTTAGGTGTATCTTGGTGTCGTATCTTAGACATCTTCTTTGTAAAACCTATTAAAATAATTTTGTTTCAATGCTTTTCCAATAATTATTAAAAAAAAGGGTATACTACACAAATGGTCAGTTAGGTTTGATTAAATTTTTGTTTTCCCCACTGAACTTTCAAAAATTATAAATTAGTCACTAACATTATCGATTTATTACAAAATAATAACCAGACATTGAGGCCATTAATCTCAGTGATAGAAAACTGATTTGGACTGTTAAATACTTACATGGTCCGTTGGTAGCTTCCCTCGAGCGTTCACTATTAAAAACAAAAACTTATTCAAACTTTAGTGATTATTCTTATAATTTGCCCTTAAAAGAATATTATCTTATAATCCTCCAAACTAATTAAAAGTAATATCTATAATTAAAAAACACTTCTAATACAATCACTATTTTAAAAGCCTAATGACTGCCTATATAATTTGTTTTTATTTTTAATAGCAATGATACTACAGCGGCAATTTTCCCAATAAATCACCGGTGATCGATATATTTATCGATCTAACACCGGTCAGATTATATTTCCCGATCTAACACCCGTAGCAGTAAAGCGAGCCCCCTGAACCGCGCTATACGCTGATTTGGCACCACGTGGGTATAGCGCGCCCCTTTCCCCGCGACATACGGTGATTTGGCGCCACGTGGGTATAGTGCACCCCCTGATCCGCGCTATACCTGCGTATCTGACACGTAGAGTATAGCGCGGTGCAGGGGGCGCGCTATACCCTAAATACCCAGCCCCTCACATCCCAATCCTCCCTATAAATACCCCCATCCTCAATACTTTTATC